GCATGCACATAGTAAGTGCTCTATGCAAATATAACACCGCCGATCCTCCAAGTAACCCCTTATGCTCTGGCGGCGGACCTGGCAGCCACAGAGGGCTCCATCCTCGCCAACACTTCCGGCCTGGTGGCCGTGAACACCAGCCTGACGCAGGGCCTGGCCACCAAGGCAAACCAGTCGGCCCTGGATGCTCTCCAGGTCCAGGTCGACGGCAAGAGCACGCCGGCCAGCGTGGACCTCAAATTAGCCAACCACCCGACGACGGCTGCGATGAACAGCAGCATCACCAGCGCCAACAATGCGACATTGGCCTCGGTGGCTGCAACCTACGCTTTGAAGACGGTCGTGGACCAACAGGCCCTCGACGTCGCCGCCCGGCAAACAGCGGCCGACGTGGACCAGCGAGTCGCCACGGCTCTCCTCCCCATGGCAAGCACCAGCGACCTCAGCGCTGGACTAGCCCTCCGCACCACGCCGGCCGACGTGAGTCAGCTCATCGCCACGGCCCTGCTGCCCTACGTCCAGCAAACGGCCCTGGATGCCGCACTGGCACTGAGAGACGGCCGGCTCGACGCGGCCGAGGCGCTGCTTGCTGCCTTGCAGGGCGCGGGCTACCAAACGGGCGGGGACCTGACCACGGCGCTGCTCGGGTACGTCACCCAGGGCGCTTACGACGCCGGCCAGGCCCTCCAGGACTCCCGGCTGGACGCCGCCGACGCGGCGATCCTTGCGCTGCAGAGCGCCGGGCCCTTCGCCACCAGCGGCGAGCTGACGGCCCTGCAGGTCTCGCTGCAATCCGCCATCGACGGGCTCCTGGCCGAGATCGCCACCCTGGGCGGGGCCACCAATCTGGTCAACGCACCCGCCTGGCCCGCGAACATTACCTGGGACCTGCTGGCCGGGACCAATCAAATCCGCAACTTGCACGCCACCGCTCCCCTGAGCATCCAGCTGGCCAACGACGACTGGACCCTGTCCTTCGCCTGCGACGCCTACAGCAAGGCGGAAGCGGACGCCCTGCTGCTCCCGAAAGCCAGCGAATCCTGGGTGCTCGCCACGCTCGGCGGGTACTACACGACCGCGGAGACCAACTCCGCGATCACGGCGGCTCTGGCCGACTACTTCACGCGGGCGGAGTCCACGGCGAACATCGTGGCCGCGATTGCGTCGGCCAACACTTACACCGACACCCAGCTGGCCGACTACAGCACCACTCTGCAGATGACCCAGGCCATCGCAGATGCGCTGGTGCCCTACGGGACCGTGGTGCAGCGGGACGCCGCGATAGCGGCAGCGCTCGCGAGCTACTACACCTCGGCGCAGACCGACAGCGCCATCGCGGCGGCGGCCCCGCTGTCGCCCTACTGGACCATCGCTCAAGTGCAAGCGGCCATCACGGCTGCGTTGGTGCCCGTGACCCTGAGCAACGGCCAAACCTGGAACGGCGGACCGACCTTCAATTTGCTCCGGGGCACGAACGTGCTCCGCAACCTCTCTGTGGCCGGAGCCCTGACGGCCACCTTCCAAAATCTGGACGACACCATCCTCATCGAGTCGGACAGCTACGCCCGATCCGAGACTTACTCCCAGCTCGAGACGGGAGCTGCAATCACGGCGGCCATCGACGCCCTGGACCTCTCCCAGTTCCAGAACGAAGCGGACGTGCTGGCCCTGATTAGCACCGCGCTGGTGCCCTACTGGGACCAGACGGAGGCCTCCGCCTACGTGGCTGGCCAGCTGGCCAACTACGCGACGAGTGCCTCCGTCAGCTCCAGCATCAGCTCGGCGCTGTCGAGCTATGATGATTCCGGTCAAGTCGACAGCAAGATAATAACTGCCCTCTTGGACTTTTCGACCTCAGCAGAGGTCACACAGGAGATCGCCGATGCTTTGAGCAACGTGGACCTGTCCGGCTACTATGATCAGGCCCGTACTACCCTCGCACGGAGCTGGATTCTCTCCTCACGGCCACCCTCACGCAATACTGGACCAGCGGGCGCACCCAAACGGAGATCGACGACGCCATCGCCGGCGCCGGCTTCCTGGACCAAACAGCGGGGGACGCCCGCTACTTCGTGAGGGCCCCCGGAGCTCAGCGGGAGATCTGCAGGTCCAGAATGCGCTGGTGACCATCCGAAAGGAGGACGGGGCGTTGCTGGCCTCCTTCGCCGACGGCGGCATCAGCATGGACCGGGACGTCACGGTGGCCGCGGCCAGCACCCTCAACGCAACCACGGCGGACTTCGCCCAGTTCTTTCAACACCAGCTCCACCATCGCGGCCACGGGGCTCGTCTCCGCCAACGGCGGCCTGGCCGTGGCGGGCACCACCACCTCCGACAGCGTGGAGCTCACCACGGAGCTGCGGAGCCCCATCGTGAAGGCCCGGTCAGTCCATCGTCACCGCCGAGGTCGAGAACACCTCGGCCACGGGCTTCGCCAGGCTGCGGCTGCTGGCCAACGGGGGCCTGGGCGGCGCGGACCTGGAGGTGGCCTCCAGCGGCGGCTGCACCCTGGCGAGCATCAACCAGACCATCAGCCTCACGAACGTCGGCGGCGGCTTCAGCAGCGCAAATGTGATCATCTACCCCCAGAGCAACCCGTCGCTGCCCGGCTGGATGGTGGCCACCTACGGCTTCACGGAGCTCTCGGATCGGAGCGTGAAGACCAATGTGCGGACGCTGAAGCACCGGGACATGCGGGAGATCTTCGATGCGGTGGAGGCCAAGATCTACGACCGGTCCGACAGCGGGCAGAAGGACCAGGTGGGCTTGCCCAAGAGGTCCAGGCGGCCGGGAAGCTCGGCCCCATGTTCACCCACGAGACGGACGAGGGGCTGCTGACGTTGAACTACCAGCGCATGGTGGCCGTGCTTTGGGGCACGGTGAAGGAGCTACAGAAGCGGGTCGACAAGCTCGAGAAGAAGAAGGGGCGCAAGGGCGACTCGGATTGAGCCCGAAAAGGGCTATTAGTCCAGGGTGTATCTCCAGATATGGCCTGGACTAATAGCAGTTTTGAAGGCGTTTTGTGCCCCGAAAAGGCTATTAGCCCAGGGTGCCTTTCCACAGGCGGCCTGGAATAATAGCGGTTTCGGGTGTGTTTTGGGCCCGAAAGGGCTATTCCCCCAGGGTGCCTTTCCACAGGCGGCCTGGGGGAATAGCGGTTTTGAAGGCGTTTTGGGCCCAAACATGGGCCCGCGAAGGGTGGTATGTCTGGGATACCACCCATAAAAATGGCGGAAGACGGAGCGATGGAGCTCTTAGGGCGGCTGGCCCGTGACTTCAACGTGCGGGATCCCCGCAAGCTCTTTCAGATAGCTCGACGGGAGTTCCCGGAGCGGCGGGACCTAACGAGTGCGCGGGCCCAGGCGGCATTGCGCAGCGACGTGGCGCGGCAGGTGCTCGCACCGAAGCCGCGGAGTTTGGGGAAGAGCACGGCGGAGGGGCCGAACGACCGCTTGCAAGCGGACCTGGTGGATTTCTCCCAGAACACGAGGGGGGCGAACAAGTACGGGCTTGTGGTGACGCATGTGTTCACCCGGGAGGTGGCCACGAAGGCCCTGCCCGACAAGCGGGCGGAGACCGTCATCCGAGCGGCCGCGGAGATCATCCCCGAGCTGGTCCAGGACGAAACCAACGTCGTGGTCACGACGGACATGGGAAACGAATTTCGGGGCTTGGAGGCGGCGCTGCCCGGAGGCGCGGTGCACCGCCAGAAGGACCCCTCCGACCGCAATGCGACGGCGGTGGTGGACCGGGCGATTCAAACTTTGAAGAAGGATCTGGCGGGGAAGGTGGCCCGGGACGGTGGGGGCTGGGGCGATCATGTGGAAGAGGCGGCGGAAGCCTACAATGCCAGGCCGCATGCGGCCGTGACGGTGGCCCCCGAGGATGTGGAGACGATGCCGGCTGCGAGCTTCCGGGTCTACCAAGACAATGCAGCGAAGTTCAAGCACAATGACGAGTTGACGAGGAGCCGTCAGCGGCGGCTCGAGGAGGCGGGGGCGTTCCGGGCCCCCACCAATGCGGCGAGGAGCTTCCAGCCCCAGTATGGGGCGGTGCGGGAGGTTTCGAGTTATGATTCGATGACGGTGCGGGCCACCGACGGTTCGGAGACTCTGCTGAAGCATGCGCTCCCGGTGCCCCGCGGCTCCGCGGAGCCTAAGGCGCGGCTGACTCGGAGGCCGGTACCTTTAGCGGTGCGGCAGCTTAGAGATTTCAACCCCGGGCCCACGGCACCCCCCGGATGAGACATCGGGAGGTTCGGGCTCACCGGGACCCCCCTGAGACACTGAGACATTGAGACATCTGAGACGTCGGGGGGTTCGGGCTCACCGGGACCCCCCTAAGACACTGAGACATCTGAGACATTGAGACATCTGAGACGTCGGGGGGTTCGGGCTCACCGGGACCCCCCGCTCCCCCCTGAGACACTGAGACATCTGAGACATTGAGACAAATGGCCTTGATCCCAGGGTCAATTGTCTCAATGTCTCAGATGTCTCACCAGGGTTCCTCCTGGGGGGGTACGGTGGACACCCTGCCTTGATCCCGGGGTCAATTGTCTCAATGTCTCAGATGTCTCAGCGGGGTCCTCCCCGGGGCAAGAGAGCATCGGGAGCATCGGCGAGCATCCAGAGCATCGCATCGGGAGCATCGGCGAGCATCCAGAGCATCGCATCGGGAGCATCGGCGAGCAGCCAGAGAAACGAGATTCAGGCTAGGGTGCGGGACGGCAACAAAAAAAAAATTAGACCGGCTCTACCTAAACCGGGGACACCCCCCCTAGCCGGTAACCTTACACACACTGTGCACGCAGGGACGATGCAGGGCAGCCTAGTCGGGCTAGGGTTCTAGGGGTTCGGGGATCGAGAGGTTCGGGCGTTAAGGTAACCGGGTCAACCGACAAGACACACGCGCACTTGCAGGGCAGCCTAGTCGGGCTAGGGTTCTAGGGGTTCGGGTTCCAGGAGGAGCTTAGGGACAACCGGGAACCCCCCCCAAACATGCACTCTGCGGGCCACGACCGGTGCTCGGATGGACCTGTTCGGCAGCTGCTTCGAAACATAACGAAAGGAGCACTCCTGTTGGGCCTCGTCCGCGACTTCTCCCCGGGTGGACCTGCTCGGGAGCTGCTGCTTCGAAACATAACGAAAGGAGCACTCCTACGTGGCCTCATCCGCGACTTCTCCCCCGGATGGACCTGCTCGGCAGCTGCTTCGAAACATGACGGCACGAGCACTCCTGCGGGCCTCGTCCTCGCCAACGGGTCCAGCCCGCCCGCCCGGTCCCAGGAAACAAACAAACAACGAGCCACTGACCAACGAGCACGCGCTCAGACCCTCAAGCAGGCTGCACACAGACAGAACGACATGCGTACAATTGCACTCCACGGCGCTTTTTGTTGCCACCCCTCGATGCTGCGCAAAACTCGGCCGGCCGGCCTCCATCGGAAGCGTCCCCTGTGCACTGGGATCATCCAGATTGGCCAGAAACCGGGCCCTAGCCCCCCGGTTACCCTCCTTGCCCCACTCACGCCCTTTCCGCGAAGTTCGGGTCTGCTAAACTACGACCCACGGAGCGGAGCGCAGTTATGTTTATCCTGGTCTAGCGAAGCCAAAGGCGAAGCGCACTTGCAGTTTTCAAACAACATTGTTTAAACCACAGTTTTAGCTTGTTGCGATTTTACAACAGATTCCGATTTTCATGTGGTTCGATGCTGTTTTTCGCATCACGATTTCCAACATGATGCTTCGGTTGATCTTGTGCGATTCTGAATCATGTCATCCGGCGGTGTGTTCAAGGCTGAGATTGCCGGAAATTTTTCAAGGGGGCTCTCTAGAGGCTTGTAGCTTTGCGTCTAACAGGCCCGAGTCCTCTGTAATCCGGTGTTGCTCTTAGAGCACCGTGCAAGAGCCCTGCTGGGGCTCGGATGGACTTCCGCCAGGCCCTTGAAGCGGGATCTTCGGCTTCTGCTTCCAGTGACACTCAAGAAGCCATTTCCCAACATCTGTACGACCTTTCACTGCAAGTTGCTTCTCTTGAACAGCAGTTGCGTGCTGTACGCGCAGAGCTCAGCGACATCCAGCGCGAGCTCCGGGGCCTGGAAACTGAAAGGTACCAGCATTCCCTCCGCCTGGGGTGGTTGGAAAGGCTTGTGCAGCGATTGCATCAGGTGTTTCGCTCCGAGTCTTAAGCTTCTTTTGCGGGGGATGAGTGCTGAAGCTTTTTATCCGGATGAGGGGGCCGTCTCGCAGTCTGTTGAATCAGGTCAGCAGGTCCCTCTGTCTGCCATACCTGCCAGCCCAATATCTCCGAATTCGGCTGTGTTTGAGGGCACACCTGATCAGAGTCCCTTAGCGGCCTTCATGAGCAGCCCCGTCGAGGGCGATGATCTTACTGAGGAGCAATTGGGGGGCTTGATGTCTCGCGAGGACACACAACTTCCCCCTGACGACGACCCGACTGCAGACCGTTTGGAACAGCAGCTTGCAGGCTTCATTGCCTACGGCGGCAGCGCAGGTGATTGGCATGCCATGAACTCAGGTTTCATTCTTGCAAGGCATTCCCGTCAGGCGATGCCGTGGGAAAGAGTGACGAGGCCCCGCTTGGGGCCCGGCTTCATGTTCCAGGAGCCGTTGCTAGGTCGTTTCGACGGTCTTAGGAGGGCGGCGATCCCCGCCCCTGCAGCAGGGCCGTGGGCATGGGTGCCCAAAGGAACTTACGAGGCCAGGCGACTTCTCGCAGCCAGGTTTGCCAAAAGCGATGACATGCTTAGGCTTACCGCACTAAAGAAAATTCGGCTCATCGTGCTTTTCTTCCCGGATGATTCGGAGCTTGGAAGGAACCTCGTGGGTTCTGCAGGCTCCCTGGTGGAGGAATCCATGCTGACCTCGACCATCGAGGACACTTTTTCAGGCAGAGCCGCCAGCACCCTTCTGAAGCGTGCCTCAGATTTCTCAAGGTTTGCCAAGTGGATCGTAGCTAGCAAAGGGCGCCCTCTGGCGCCTTCCGAGGGCGAGTTGTACGCTTATATGCTTCACTTGCGACGAGAGAAAGCAGGAGCCACTGCCGGCGAGTCTTTTCTCAAGGCCTACAAGTTCTTTGTGCACTTGACAGGGGCTGCGCAAGGCTCCAGGATTTCCCCTCGTGTGCAGGGAGCAGCCAAGGCGATGTCCATGGCCAAACGGCCGCTCTGGCAAGCACTGCCCCTTCCGGTGGAGGCAGTGCGGCTCTTGGAAGAATTCGTCCACGACTCCGAGGATTATGCCAGGGCTAGCATAGCAGGGTTCATTCTTTTCTGCCTCTACTCCTCGGCTCGATGGTCGGATGCGGCTCGAGGGACTGACTTGAGCATTGACGTGGCAGGCAACGGGCTTGTCCTTCTTGAGTGTTCGACAAAACATTACAAGACGAAGGCCAAGGACCGAAAGGATACCGTGCTGCCTTTGATTGCACTGGGCAGTGGCTTAACTCAGCCCTCATGGGGACGTGTCTGGATGCGCAAGAGGGCCCCGGCAGGGCTACCAGACTGTGCCGTAATCATGCCGGCCATGTCGCCGGGAGGGAACTTTCTAGGAAGGGCCATGACGGCTGCGGAGGGTTCCTTGTGGCTTCGTGAGTTTTTGCACTTGCAGGGTTTCGCGGGGGATCTTGAACAGTACAGCTCGCACAGCCTGAAAGCAACCGCCTTGTCCTGGACGGCCAAGAGCGGGACCATGACCTACGAGGAGCGCCTTACCCAGGGGCATCATTGCAGTCCAAAGCACGGCATGGCTCTCCTGTACTCGAGAGATGCGCTTGCAGAAATCATAGTGAAGGTAGCCAAGGTCGTGAGTGCTGTGAGCCGGGGAGTGTTTAGTCCCGACCTCCCGCGAGCCGAGAGGGTCGCAAGAGCTCTGCATGGCGATCCAGCAGATTTTGCACATCTTCCTGAGACGACGGCTGAGGATTTACCGGCCGAAGAGCCTCAAGATGAAAACAACTCCGAGGCCGGGTCTGACATAACAAACCTCGACGGTCTCGAAGTGGACCTGGGGGCACCGGCCCCGGAGGAGGTCCGTCCTCGGCTCAGCTGCACGTTCTCGGGAGAGACCTACATGCACGTCTTGAGTGGAGTGGTGCATAAGTTGGTCAACCCCGGAATTTTTAAGTGCGGAAGGAAGGTCACGGCGAACATGCGTTTGATGGGGCCTGAGGAGGCTCAGGAGAATGTCTGCCAGCAGTGCGCAGCTTGAAGAAAAGAGGATGTGCTCAGTTGATCGTTTGCTGATTTGCGACGTCGTGCCTATGCCATTTGAGATGAGGGTGCTCGGGCCGATTGAGATCAGTGGGGTGTTTCTTGCTTCGGAGCGCAAAACCGGACTGAGAAGTGTCCGCAGTCTTTTGGCTGGGAGTTGCCAAACTGGGGCGAATCTCCCGCGCGGCCTGGTGAGCACCCAGGCTTGAACTTAGCGGGAGTTTGATTGGGGGCTTTGAGATTGCAAGAACCCCCGTGGTCGGCTGCCTTTGCCGGCCTGAGTCATGAAAAATACTATTGGGACGCGACCGGCTGGGATCGCCGGTTCCCGAAGGCCGCCTGTGATCGGTGGCGAAGAAGTGTGAATCCGAGACAAACGCGACCCACGGTTGACTTCGCCGTGGGTGAGACCTCGAAACCTGTATCCTCACCTGCCCAGGTCTCATGGCCGGACTTGAATCGGTGCCCGCCTTCACCGACCGAGCAAAGCAGATCGGCATCAGCGAGGATCTTCTGACCAAGCTCCTTGCTAAGAGCTTGGACACCTTCGGCAAGCTAGCTTTCGTGTGCTCGAGCAAACCTTCCAGCGGGGATGACACTCCTCTCTTCGAAGCCCTGAAGACTCTGATTGGGAGTGAGGTTCCAGTGGAACAACATATGGTGATCAGGCGATTGTGGTACGAGAGCCACGCCCACGCCCTGGTTGACTTGGAATCGAGGGCTTCGAGAACAAGTGATACAAGCCCCCGCGAGCTTCCGTTGGCAGAACGCCTAACACGCTTGAAACGCCAAAGGGGGGCGCTTAAAGGCCTCGAGATGGATATCCACACAGAACCTGGACACGGCCTTGTGGACCGCGTCCAGGCCATGCTCGATTCTGCACAAGTGCTGCACATCGCACCGGAAAAGTGCATTTCCCGCCATGACGAGATCCTGGGTGAGAAGACGGAGCAAAAGCTCTCTTTGGGAGCCGACGGGAACATCAAGATCACGAAGCAAGCCTCGAGTCTCCGGTGCGAGACTACCGGCGAGCTCAAGCTTCGCCGGTGCTTCCTGCGCCGGGCCTTAGCGTTCGATCAAGTGGGGCTCGCCTCCTTCACTGCAATGGAGTCTTGGCACAACCGCATGTTCCAGGCTCTGCTTGATGTGCCTCCGGCGGGTTATCGCTACACTACCGTTCAGCAGCTGCTCGCAGCTGACCAGAAGCTTTGGCAGGTCGTGGCCCAGGAGAGCCGAGGTGACATCGTCGTCGGGGGCGGAGCCCCGGCTCCTCTTGATAAGCACATAGCCGCTGCTGCAACCAATCAGTTTGTGGTATCCTGCCTGACCCACCTTCCTAAGCCTGCCGAGAACCAGGCCCAACCGTGGAAGCCGAATAAGGGACCCGACAAGGGCAAGCAGAAGGGAGAGAAGGGTACCAAGGGCAAAGGCCGCGGCAAAGGGAAGCAGAATCACAGCCAAGGCCAGGCTGATGCATCCTCGCAACCGTCCCTGAAGGAGCTGCTGGAGTCGTTACCCGAGGGCTGCGTGCGGGCCAACGATGATGGCCGTTTCATCTGCCCATTTTACAACAAGGGGATCTGTCGCTTCCAGAAACGCAAGTCGTGCCGCTTCGGAAAGCATGTGTGCAACTTCAGGGGGTGCGGGGCCGAAAGGCCCTACAGTGAGTGCAAGCATTGACTAGCCTCGCCCTCGCCCGAGGTTTTCGCCAGGCAAATCTTAGCTCAGAGCACACCTGTTACCGCTGAGCAAGTGATGAGGCTTTTTGATGCCTTGCCGCATGAGCAGTGCGACCGAGACGCCGAAGGGCGCTCCTTTTCGGCAGGGATGTACTCTCGAGTTAAGGTGAGCCTGCGCAAATCTTGTAGGCTTTTTCCACAAACGGTGCGCGTGGTGAACAGGTTTGTAGCCTCTTTGCTTGATGGTGCCGTTTACACCAGTTTTGCCATTTTTGATCAGGTACGCACTCGGCAACACCGAGACAGTCAGAATTCCTTTTCTCCGAATTATGTCATTCCTTTGACCGTTTTCCAAGGGGGAGCTGTCAGGGTAAGCGAGCCAGGCCAGACTGTGGACTTGGAAGTGTCTCGCGGGCCCATTAAATTTTGTGCGCGAGGGTATGAGCATTGCACTCTGCCAGCCACCGGGCGCCGAGTTGTTTTGGTGCTTTTTGCTTTGCAGGCCGGAGAGCGGATCTCCGGAGCCGACAAACATGTCTTGCTTGATTTGGGCTTCCCGTTGCCCAATGCTTCGCAGTTGGCTTCAACTGAGGTCTGCTCGTCACTACAGCTTCCAGTGACTGATCAGATGCGTCGGATTCTCCCCCTGAAAGAGCCAGCTCCGCCTGCCTCTGAGCAAAAATCATCTCCCTCGTCCGGGTCTTCGGAGTCCGAACAAGTTTCTTCGGATCCCGGCGATCCCAAATCAGCGCCTTGTCCGGATCCCCGGGCAGATCAGCGAAGTGCCGCTTCCGCCTCGTGTGGGACCGTTGAGGGCTGCAACCCCCTGTCGAGTCAGGGCCCCTCTTCGGTCCTTCGTCCTCCCATGCTGGCTGATTGCCTTGCTGTCTCGGGCTCTTTATCGGCCGCCGCCCTGCAGGCTGGTTGGGATGCCTTGCCATTGGGCCACAAACGTGGTGCCCCCGAGTGCTGTCCCCGAGTGCCGATTGACCTCTCCGCGAAAGATGATCTGCAAACATTGCTTGACTTTGATCGACATACACTTGTCGACTGGTGGCATTTCAATCTGTTCATGAAATCTTGCAATCAGGGGCGTGATTCTCGAGGACGTGCGAGCCTTCGTGACGCCTCTCACTTGCTAGGGCGCGCCGGCCTCCCTGCCCGAGCCGATTCGCTGGTGCAGCATGAAAACAGTTTACTGCAAGCCGTGGTCGACCTGCTATTCCGAGCTTATGAGACTCGGGCCCTGGTCAGCTTGATCGGGCCGGCCCGGAGTTGGGTTTGGAGCCTCTTAGCCCACTTTGTCAAGCAGAGGCAGCATCAGGACTTTCTGCAATGGTTCTTCGCTTTGGCCGATCAGGAGCTTGATACTTGCATGTTCGGTGCCCCATTCTTGACATCGCTGCGCATCCGAGCTGACTCTTCATCTTTCCCAAACCTTGGCCGTCCCTGTGATAAGTCCCATAAACACATGCCTTGGATTCCCCCTTCTGCAGGAACGGGTTTCAGTGATGCCTCGCTGCCTGCTGAGCTGTGCCGGACCCTGTGTCGCTCCGCCACAGCGGTCTGCCGAGGTCTCCAGGTCCAAAGAGTCGACTTCCTGCATAGCCGCCGGCTTCGAGCTCAGGTGCGAGCGGCAGCGGCCAACCAACCCACCTACATGCCTCCCTTAATCCCTGAGTTTCGGGTTAGGGTTCCTCTGTCCCAAGTACCGAGTGGAGCTGATTACAAAATACTCTCCAAAGGCCGCGGCTCTAGTGCGGGGGACAATGATGAGCCGGGGGATAATGATGAGCCCAATCCTTCTAAGAGGGTCCGGACACAAAGAGATGGTAGAGCCGGAGATCTGGCAGGTGTGTATTTTTCCATGGAGGAGCACCTGCATCGCGCATGTGGGCTAACCTGCCCAGCTGACAACAGTGCTCGTTTGCCCGATGCTGTTCGCCGCAACATTTTTGCCATACTCACGGAAGGCCCAGTGGCTGTGTCAAAGCGGCGGATGCTTGAACTGAAAAAATTGAATGACCGGATGGCGGTGCTGTCTGCCACTGAGAAAGAGCTTCGAGCCAAAATGCATCCGGATGTGGAGCGAGTCACTAAGGGCAAGGCCCTAGCTTTGTTTCGCGAGCTTCTTGAGGAAACAGGCTTTCCCGACATGACAGTGGTTGACCTTCTTACCGACGGTGTGCCCTTAGTTGGTCAGGAAGCCGAGTCCCCTTTGTTTGCAAAGCGGCCGAAGCCCATGGACCTTGGGCCAGATCAGCTTAAAGCCCAGGCCCCACTGCGGCGGCGCGCATTGCAGAAGATGAAAGGACTTGTTTCCGAACAGGATTACAAGGCGATGAAAGATGAGACTTCCGAGGAACTGGCAGCGGGTTTCCTCACGGGTCCATACCACTCTGAGCAGGAAGTCAGCGACATCTTGAAGACCGATGCATGGTCGCTCTCGCCTCGTTTCCTGTTGAGGCAGGGCGAAGACGCCAAGATAAGGATAATTGACGACTTTAAAATGTCGGCGGTTAACAGGGCCTTTGGTTCCTCGTCTTTCCTAGAGCTTCAGGATACGGATTACGCGGTCGGCCTCCTGAGGTTCCTTTCCCGTGTGCTGCAGGATCGCTCCAAGGTCCGGGTCCCCTTGTCTGATGGCACCGTGCTCGAGGGGAACTGGGATCCCGAGATGCTCCGCCAGCCCGCTCTGCTCGGCAAGACGTTGGACTTGAGTAAAGCCTATCGCCAGGTGAGCATCCATCCTTCCACGAGGGAGCACGCTGTTCTTGGCTTCCCCGACCCGCAAGGCAAGTGGGAATTTTACATAGCCCAGAGCCTGCCTTTTGGAGCTGCTGCAAGCGTGTACGGGTTCAACAAAGTAGCACTTGCGATTCTTCACATCATGGTTGTCAAGTTTGCTGCAATCGCGACTGACTTTTACGACGACTACACTATATATGAATTTCGCCCAGCTGCATTCCTGCTGGACAAGGTCCTGATGAGGCTGCTGGACCTGCTAGGGTGGACCTACGCGAAGTCTGGGCGGAAGTTTGTGCCGTTTGACAACAAGGTGGTCTCCTTGGGTGTTTCTTTGGGCCTTGACGAGATATGGGGAGGCACTCTCAAGGTCGAGAACAAAGCGGGACGTCTTGAAAAGATTGCAGAGCTCCTCCAAACAATTGCCCAGGGGGGAGCTGTGACGAGATCTGATGTGGCCTCGCTGCACGGCTTGATCAACTTCGCAGGTGGACTGATTATGGGCTTCGAGCTGAAGCCCACGTCGCGAATGCTGTCCCGGGCCTTGTCGGGGCCTTTCCAAGGAAGTACACTCGAACTTCGACTGGCTTGTGCGTTAGCTCTGGATGTCATTGCGCAGTGCAGGCCAAAGCGGTGCCCGGCTACAATTCTGCCGCCGATTGTGCTCTACACTGATGGAGCCTTCGAGAAGGGGCGAGGTACCTGGGGCGCGGTTCTTGTAGATGCTTACACGGGCTCCCGATGGGTTTTCGGGGGGGAAGTCTGCCAGCAGCTGATGGGTCACTGGGGCAAGGAAGCTGGGGCCCAAGTGATTTGTCAGGTTGAGGCCTATGCTCTGGCAATAACCTTGTTCGGGATTCGCGGAGTGCTGAAAGGTCGCTCAGTCTTGGCATGGATTGACAACAACGCCTGCCTTTATGGGTTCGTAAAGCGATACTCCCCCTCGGCCTCCATGATGCGCCTCATCTCCTTGGTGGCTTTGATGGAGAGTTCCATGGAGGCGCTTCTCTGGTTCGAGCGGGTCCCCTCTAAGAGTAACCCGGCGGACCTCCCGTCGCGGGGGCAGTTTGCAGAGGCTTGTGAGCGATTTCGGGCCATAAACAAAGGTGATGTGGCAGCCACTGATACGATGATGGACTTCGTTCGTGCTCCCCACTATGAGCCTAAGCTGGCTCAGGCAATCCTTACATCGGCTAGGCTGGAAGCTGATTGGGCACAGGAAGTGCTGCAGTGATCATCGATGCATCCTCCGATCGCGGGGCCGGGGGAAGATGGCTGCTCTGTTCGGCTGCTTTAGCCGTTCTCAGTTTGGCTGCTTTTGCCTTGCTCTAAACGGGTTGTGCTCGCCCGCTCTCGCCATCAACCCGGTAACAGACCCCCGTCGCAACGGAGTGCGAAAAAGAAGCCCTGTCCGAGTGAAGCCATTCTGTTTGCAATACGATAAGGATTGCTGGACTATTATTCCTGTGATTGGAGATTGAAAAATTTCTCCATATATCTTTATACAGATTCGTTTCGTTTTTGTATCTGAGGATACTTTAAACTGCAAGGAGACCAGAGAAACGACCCACGGAGCGGAGCACAGTTATGTTTATCCTGGTCTAGCGAAGCCAAAGGCGAAGCGCACTTGCAGTTTTCAAACAACATTGTTTAAACCACAGTTTTAGCTTGTTGCGATTTTACAACAGATTCCGATTTTCATGTGGTTCGATGCTGTTTTTCGCATCACGATTTCCAACATGATGCTTCGGTTGATCTTGTGCGATTCTGAATCATGTCATCCGGCGGTGTGTTCAAGGCTGAGATTGCCGGAAATTTTTCAACCACCCACCCGCCCGACATAGTTTCAATACGGTTTTTGAGAGACTGGGGAAGATGGCTGCTCTGTTCGGCTGCTTTAGCCGTTCTCAGTTTGGCTGCTTTTGCCTTGCTCTAAACGGGTTGTGCTCGCCCGCTCTCGCCATCAACCCGGTAACAGACCCCCGTCGCAACGGAGTGCGAAAAAGAAGCCCTGTCCGAGTGAAGCCATTCTGTTTGCAATACGATAAGGATTGCTGGACTATTATTCCTGTGATTGGAGATTGAAAAATTTCTCCATATATCTTTATACATATTCGTTTCGTTTTTGTATCTGAGGATACTTTAAACTGCAAGGAGACCAGAGAAACAGGAATTGTCTTTTTTTAAAGAGATCGATATTGCTTGCACATATGACACAACTAATAGAGGTTCTGACACCTGTAGACACGCAACCGATTCGACCCTAAATTCGCGGGGCGGTCCCCTAGGCATATATATATATATGTGTGTGTGTATATACAACTATAAGTGTCCCAAAATAGGCATCACAGACAACCATGCAAGGAGGGCGGACTCACCGGGCACTCAGCAGCTACTCCATGCTTCCCTCGAGCTTGACAGCGGTCTCCCTCGCCTCCTTCTTGCCGTCGGCACCGATGAAGCGGTACAGGAGGACATATGCATTCCTCCGCTTTCCATCCACGCCCATCTCCGTCTTGGTCCGCTTCTCCACCAGCCCTGCCTGCTTGAGCAGATCGCTGCAGGACCACTTGGGCCGCTTGGCATCCTTGTCATCCGCGAACTTGCTTTCCAAGAACCTCTGCAGCTCCCCATACACTTTTTGCGCCTCGGAGGCAGCGGCACAGGACGGTGCCCGGACGATCCTCGTCATCACAAACTCCTCCACAGCGTTGCCCACCTCATTCTTGATCTCGGCCGTCAGCAGGGCCTTGCACTTCAAAGGCACCGGGCCTATGGATCGCATGCTGCGGTTCCACAGCAGGGTCTCGTAGATGAGGTAGAGGAGGCCGAAGATCCCCGGGACCAGCTCGTCCAGGGAGCCCTCGATGTCTCGCCACTGCATCTGGTTGGCCTCCTGGACTTCGTCGGCGAACACCGACACGTGCTCGATCACCGCTGTGCGCTGCCGCACAGCATAATCCCCCACAAGCGGTGGGGGATTATTGGCGGCGAATAGCACAAGGTGCTGAGGGCGAAATCTAACAAGACGTTCGTAGAGGTCTCGCCCGCACAACTCGCTGTTGGGGTCCGTAAAGGTTTTGTACGTTTGCAAACGTAGGGTGTCGGCAGCGTCCACTTCTCTCACGGCCACGAAGCGGCGTGCCCTCACCATGGCATACATGGGTGTCGGAGCATTGGGATCTCGCACCTTCACGAGGGTTTCAGCAGCAATCGAGCACGCGTATGATCCCAGTCTTTTCGCCGACGGCTGCATCAGCATGGATCGAGATGTAACCGTGGCTGCGGCCAGCACTCTCAATGCCACCACGGCGGATTTCGCCCAGTTCTTGGGCAGCACCGCCGTAATGGACTTCAACACCAGCTCCACAATCGCGGCTACGGCTCATCTTCGCCAACGGCGGCCTGGCTGTGGCGGGTACCACCACCTCGGACAGCGTGGAGCTCACCACGGAGCTGCGGAGCTCCATTGTGAAGGTCCGGCCCACGGAGGCAGCGAGGGCATCTACGTGAACATGGGGGCGGTCTACATGGGCGGCCATCAGCCTCACGAACGTCGCCGGCGGCTTCAGCAGCGCCAACGTGATCATCTACCCCCAGAGCAACCAATCGCTGCCCGGCTGGGCTGGATGGTGGCGACCTACAGCTTCACGGAGACCTCCGACGCGAGCGTCAAAACCAACCTCCGAGCGATCAAGCACCGTTACATGATCCAAATCTTCGACAACCTGGAGCCCAAGATCTACGATCGCTCGGACAGCAAGCAGAAGGACCAGATCGGCTTCATAGCGCAGGAGGTGGAGGCCGCCGGGAAGCTGGAGCCCATGTTTACCCACCGGACGGACGAGGGGCTGCTAACCCTGAACTACCAGCGCATGGTGGCAGTTCTGTGGGGGGTGTGCAAGGACCTGCAGAAGCGGGTCGAAAAGCTCGAGAAGAAGAAGAGTCGCAAGGGCGACTCGGATTAGAAATGGCAGAGGACGGCGCGATGGAGCTGCTCGGGCGGCTGGCCCGAGACTTCAACGTCAGAGACTCTAGGAAGCTCTACCAAATTGCTTGACGGGAGTTTTCCGACCGGTAGGAACGAGTGCGCGGGTCCAGGCGGCATTGCGCAGCGACGTGGCGCGGCAGGTGCTCGCGTCCAAGCCGCGGAGTCTGGACAAGAGTGCAGCGGAGGGACCGAACGACCGCTTGCAAGCGGACCTGGTGGACTTTAGCTAGAACACGAGGGGAGCGAACAAGTAAGGGCTTGTGGTGACGGATGTGTTCACCCGGGAGGTGGCCACGAAGGCTCTACCCGACAAGCGGGCGGATACTGTTACTCGAGCGGCCGCGGAGATCATCCCCGAGCTGGTCCAGGACGAAACCAACGTCGTGGTAACGACGGACATGGAGAACGAGTTTCGAAGCTTGGAGGCGGCGCTGCCCGGAGGCGCGGTGCACCGGCAGAAGGACCCCTCCGACTGCAATGCAACGGCGGTGGTGGATCGAGCCATCCAAACTTTGAAGAGGATCTGGCGGGCAAGGTGGCCCGGAAAGGTGGCGGGTGAGACGACCATGTGGATGAAGCGGCGGAGGCCTACAATGTCCGCCCGCATGCAGCGGTGACGGTGGCCCCCGAGGATGTGGAGACGATGCCGGCTGCGAGCTTCCGGGTCTATCAAGATAACGCAGCCAAGTTCCAGCACAACAAGGAGCTTACGGCCGCAAACGCCGATTAGAAGAAGCGGGCGCCTTCAGCGCTCCGACAAACGCAAGAAGAAGCTTCGAACCGCAGTACGGACCTGCTCGCGATGTTGCCAGCATTGATTCCATGGTTGTTCGAGCCACAGATGGAACCGAGACTCTGTTGAAACATGCACTTCCGGTTCCAAGATGCAGTGCCGAACCCAAAGCCAATGATCCTGGGCCAGTCGCTCCACCCTAATCTTCTTGATGAACGAAAATGAGCCAGCCTCCAGCAGGCTCGAAGAGTGAAGATTTCCAAGCAGACGGAGGCTGGCAATTCCGAGACTTCCTCCTCCTCCTCCTCCTCCTCCTCCTCCTCCTCCCTTTATCTATCTCTTGTGCTGCTTCCTGATTCTTTCTGCTTCTGAGCGATATGTTACGCTGACACGAGGCGGAGCTCGGACAGGAAGCTGCCCTGGAAGCCTGCCTAAAGGCTGCCGAGACTGGCGTGCTGGGTCCCTTTGCATTTGCCAAGGATGAGGGCTGTGTCACCGATTGCTTCTTCGTAAAACCTAGCTTCAGCTTGGGCTTGGTACGGTTGATGATATAAATCCTGCATTACCCATAATAAGGAATATACCATAATTCCCATAGTTTAGGGTCCTGATTTATATCATCAACCGTAGTACAGCGAAAGAAGTTTAGGCTTTGGCTTTCGGGCTTTACAGGGTGATCGGAGGCGCAAGAATTCGGAAGAGTTCGCAGCACGCCTCCCCTCGAGGACTTTTATCTGGGTGCGCCGCAGCGACCGCTAGCAGAGATCCGGCAAGATAAGGAAGATATCTTGGCGGTGCGTGCGGCGGTTGAGCAGAATCCGACTCTTGCGTCGCAGAGTGCGTGGAGAATCCAGACCCGTGGGTAACAGCACACCGGTGCAGGGTTTGCATTGCTTGCGACTTGGAAAGCTAAGGAGCCTTCCCCAGTTTGTGGCGTACAACATCCTGCTTCCGAATCTGAAGCCAGATGTGGTATGCCTCCCTGAGGAGTAGATCGAAAAGGGCTTACCGCAGTTGTCCTCCGCATCGTCTCGCCCTTGCTGTTCTGAGAACCGGTCGAGTGGACCCTGAACGCAGATGCACGGCGAAATGATGACTTCCATCAGCATCTGTCGACTGGCTAGACGGAACCAAGAAGCAAGTTGAGCTCCCGTTGCTATTGCAACCTATCCCCCATCCTATGCCTCTTGATGTGTCTTGTCGACGGACGCTGTCTCGCACAGCAGACGACCTCAACTCAACAATCTGGGCACCTAAATAAGGTTCGGATCATGCACCAACTCTGCAACCAAAGGTAACCATTCCCCTTGCACTCATCCCCAAAAAAAGGATAAGCTAGGCTCTGGCGAAGGACTCCCTCATATTCTTAGTGGTCATCTTGGATTCTCCTATCTAAAAGAAATAGATGCGGGAAGAAAAGGAGGATTCTTTAGGAGGGGACACGCACATATAAGCAGCTCGGAGGCAGCACGCGTAGCAGCAATAGGCTGACGCGCTTTTAGCGTACGGCACGCCACTCATGACAAACAACGAGAAGGCGCAGATCTTATCTTTATTATTTCATTTCTTCGTTGGGAGGCATAGATATCCATTTTTTTGGGAGGTTGCGTTACTTGAATATTTTCTGACAGATTGGACAAGGTCCTAACTTCCACGATATTCCTGCTATCTTATCCCTCTTTGATACGATGAATTACGCCCTTAATTATACATTTTGCTAAGACTCTCGTCCATCCCAAGAAACGAATTACAGGGTATTACCGAATCCCAATAGCAGACTTACTATGATCATATTTATACCTTTCTTTCCATATAAAAATCTAGGGAAGACCGATTTCCTTCGTTCCTAGGGCGCTCTAATCCTAGATTACTTATACGACTTATTGAGCTAGTGACTCGAGATGCACTGTTGCGCCCGGCGGAAGTCTGCACATGTGCCGGCTGCTGGAATGGTCCATCAGCAGTGGAAAATTTCGGTGACCATGGGTCGGGTGGGAGGGTTCTCGAACCGAAAACCGCCGTAAGCCCGTTTCTCCCTCGTCACTATTGTCAGTGACTCGAGATGCACTTTTGCGCCCGGCGGGAGTCTGCAATGTGCCGGCTGCTGGAATGGTCCATCAGCAGTGGAAAATTTCGGTGACCGTCATTCCCCATTAAATCCGCACATGTCCAAACTAGCCGCCTGGCCACAGATTGTACCAAACATTGCTCTGAATGCCTTGCTTCTTCCAGGCCCACGCCTGCCTGAGAATATCTGTAAAACCTCCAGCGATCTGCACGATCCGGTCCTTCTGCGGCCGTGGCAGCGACGGCAGAAAAGTGTTCGCAGAGATCTCTTGAAGGTAAACTTCCATGACTTTGGCCGAGGCCCACCTGCCTCGACGTCGAACTCATTCGGAATCTTCGGTCTGCTGCAGGATGTAAGTGGCTCCTCCAGCTCTGAAAGAACCCAAATCCAATTCTCGGACGCCATGTGGAGCTGGCGATGCTCCAATCCTTTTGAGAATCGAATCCAGGCGCTTTCGCAGAGTTTGTGGGGAGAGGTACCAGAAAAGCTCTCCTCGTTGAAGATATTCGAAAGCAAGCTGGATAACGCTGACAAGATCTGCGGACTCAACCTTAGCAGCCTGGTGGCGAGGTCCTTTATGTCTCGTCTTGGGCTCCTCGATATGTACCAAAATATATTTCTGCGTGTCACAGACGTCACTGGGCAGCACTAATGACGAACGTTTACACTGAATAACCTCGCCGATTCGCAGCAAACCACCAAAAGCCAGAGCGAAGCAGCCAGCCTCCCGGGTCCAGCCCCAAGCCAGGCTCGCGGAAAGGATAGCTATCAAGATGACAGCCGGGATAGCCGTGGGATGGGATGTCGGTTCCTCAATGAGCCAAGCGAAACCCAAATCCCATGCGGCCTGGACCTGTCTTCTCAAAACCGGCTTCAGAGATGTTACTGCGTTGATTGTCTCGGAATAATGCCAGTAGGGCCGTCCCGACCCATACAGATCACGGCCATACCGGGCAATCCAATCGCTGACAGCCTCGGCATCCAGCGGCTTCGCAGAGAGCCTCCAGGCTGAAACCAGCAACCTCGAGGAGCCATTGCGAAAAAGCTGCGGCTAGATCAACCCTGTACGAACCAGTTCTAGGGAGCACAACTCTTCCGGCAGGAAGTCCAAGAGGAGACCACTTTGCCGCACGAGCAACGTCGGCGGGGTTCCTCGGAGAGAGGACGGACAGGCAGGTGGAGCAGCCCAACAACACAGAAGTCCAGAACAGGGCCAGACGGGGAGGCCCTTCACCAGGGTAGCCGAGAGAAGAGTCAAAGTCAAACTCAGCTCGGTGTGCAATGCACCACTCACGGTGATCCTTCTTCGGGAGTTTAAACCCAAGAGCGCGGAGGCGGCGCTGTTCGTCCGGCCGGCGTTTAGGAGGCTCCCTAACGCAGAAGGCAACAGCAACTTTGCGGAGCCCGGTCCAAGGCCGGGTGAAGTGTATTCTCCGACTGTCGAAAACCTTCGGGCCGCATGCAACATCGTAGAGCTCTCCTGCAAGTTTCTTTCCACCGATGGTCTCACACACGGCTCCGCCTGGAGACTGTACCCAAACCTCACCACCACTGAAAAGACTAATGGGGCATATGAGGTTGAAGGAAGCTTCAGGGTGATTGCGGTCCGAGTGGGGGCTAGCCTTAACCTGCTGAAGCAAAGTGACGGCAGTGAAGGGGAAGCCGGGGCTAACAGACCTGATGAAACAGCAGACGAGCTCAGTCGACTTTGGGAACTTGGCACCCCCGGGCCTAGCACTCTCTTTGGGGCGGGGGTTTCTTGTGGAAAGGTGTGGACCCCGGATGAGCACCCCCTTTCCCCCCCTCCCCTGTGCTAGGGCGACAGTGCCCTCTAGTATTCTGGCTCAACTGCTGTTGCAACTGATCCGGCGATGCCGACGTCTCCACCCATCATGGGCCTGAGGACATTCAGTGTATATGTGAGGTATTCCACGCTCATCATATGCATTAGCAACTCCCTGGATTGCTACCTTTGTTTATCGGCCTTGTTCCAGGGCTGCGCCTCTGTGCTGTTCATTGCCGCGGTGGTGTGCATGTTCATTTACTGTGCCTGATTGGTGGCGTGCTCGCCCTCGGTGCTGGAACAGTGTTCCCTCGGCACATGGCGCACGCCTTTGGGTCGCCTTGTGTGTGCCCTCTGTGCATGGAGCCTCGCTCCCTCGGCACTGGCCGCACGGTTCGCCCCCTTTCAACTCTTTGCGTCTGCTGCCGGTTACTTGGTGTGTTCTTTGGTGCATACAAGCATAAGTATTATCGGTTGGTGACGTCTGGCTTGGCCTCCTGCCTGCTTTATCCCTGATCAAGGACTATGCTTCTCCGATTCTTGGGTTTGAAACATGTACCTTAGTATTGTACACCGTGACCTGTCTGCACTAGCTAGTTTTTCCACCACTTGAACTCTGGGACGGAGGGAGGCGATGACGCTTGCGGAGCCCCCCTGAGATGTTGAGAGGGACGTGGGAGGTAGGCCGCACCGTAAGTGCTGGTCGACACTCACTCACTCACTCACTCACTCACTCACTGGGTGCTTAGAATCGTATTTGTCGCCGAAGCGATCTCTGCACTCACAAGTGAGGAGGTCAAAGAGCTCTCCAATGGTGAAAGCATCGGTCTTTCCTCCTTGCATGGCCCACGATGCAAAGGCTTCGGCTGGGTGCAAAGCCGATCCAACAGGCGTGAAGAGACTAGCCGGAGGTGCCCGGGGGCATCCTCTCCAGTCGTCGCAGCAGAGGCTCTTTATGAACTTTTCACGCGGGTAGCCAACGGGCGCGAGCAGGAGACAGAGCCGGACCTATCTGGCGCGTGACTTGTTTGCACCTGAAAGCGTGCACAATTCGACCGTCGCGGCCTCACTCAGTTCCCGGAGGACAGATTCGGGGTGCGGCTCGCGCAGCGGCACGTCACGAGTGGGATCATCGGATATATTCAATCTCGTGGGGCCGTAGAGGTAGGCTGGGAAGATTCCCCCGGCGACTCCGAAGGCTTGGCCTCAGCAGCTTAGCCGACGAACGTCCTTTGGCAAGCGCTCTTTTAGCGCACGAGGAGTCAAGGATCAGGACCGGTCTGGAGTCCCGGCCCTCTCTAGCGATGTCCCTGAGCTTTGTCACTGTGGCTTCTGTCTCCAAACAATTGATGTGCCGCTGCCGCTTCCATGCCCATTGCGAATCAATTTGCCAATCACCTGTTAGAAGGATCTCATTGACTGCTATGTTCTCTAACCCAGGGCTGAGAGGGCGGTCATTGGCGTTGGCAGAAGCGGTGGGCAGCAGGAGGCTGACTAGCCCCGAGGCAGCGGCTTGAGGCACGGAGCGGCTAGCCCAAAAGAGCTTCGGAAACCCAGTCGGGCAGAAGGCTAAGCCAGGTTGGCCCAGGCTACCTTGTGCCCCGATCGCAGGTGGGACGATCAGGACCTTGTCGACCGCCAAGAGATTCCGTGCTGGGGCGGTGGCCAGCACTCCCGCTCCTTTCTTATACAAGAATACTGCCGGGACGGAGGCCCTGACTGCCGCTTTGAAAAGGGCAACGCTGCGTCTGAAAATTAAGCTGGCCCCTTCAGTGGAAAGGCCTTTTCCGTTGCGATGTTTCAACTGGCTGGGGGACAGCCCCGCCAGGAAAACAATGGCAATGCTGCGGGCTTTCCCAGCCCAAATCAAGTAGAGGGCCTACTCGAAAACCGCTAACCTACGAAGATCGTACTCAGGGGAGTGCTTAGGGTTTATCACCGGCGAGCATCTAAGACCCTTCTCAGCTGCGGCCACAGCTTATCCGGCAGCTCCCTCAAAGATAAGGAGAACATCGAAGTCAAAGGCGAGCGGCCTTTTGGCTGCGACTTCAAGCTCTCCGTCCTCGTGGTCGGAATCGGGGGGGATGCAGTTTGCTGCTCCGCCGTCGAGCATTGTGTAGCATCCCTTCTTTTCGGCTGCAAGCCAGAGCGAGGCTGCCACCTCCTCCGGCACTTTGGTAGAGCATGTCGCTCCACGGTTCATTGAGGCATCAGAACAGAACACCCTGTCACAGAACGGGTCAGCAACATTGCTGAGAAGGACAGGGGCAAGAGAAGCCAGGACGACGAGTTCCTGAGCAACCTTCCTCGGGAGAAAACGAAGGCCACTTCTAGAGGCCTGGGCTGAGGACTTGCCGAGCCCAAAAAGGCCATCGAGCACAGCAAAAAGCGGTCTCCTGAACATCAGGGCAGAGATCCAGGACCCAGCAAGGTTTGAGGCAAGCTCCTCGGAGATGGCCGGCATCGCTGCAGCCTTCAAGCTAATCACAGAAAGAGCGAGAAGCTTCGGAGTCGCGGCTGAAACGAAGCAGCAACCAGCCTTAACAACCACATCTGAAGAATCAATCCCTGGGCCCCAGCGCACACTATAAAATCAACCCCAAGGATATCCTTATGGGGGGAGCCCTGAACTTGATCCCTCTCATAGATCACATGGGCTGCTCTGACACGGCGGGCGGCCTCGGAGGAGGTAGGATCAGCGGATGCAGGCTCTGAGGAGATACAGTAGTAATCGTCGATTATCAAGCCCTCCCAGGGTCCAAGCCGAGACGGCGCCCTACTCGCCAAGAGGCGAGTAGGTGGGAGGAGCAGCCCTCCTTCTTCGAGAAGGTTTCCGTGCGCCTCGGTCCCGTATTCTACCCCAGCATGGTCGCCTTGGTAGAAGCCGTAGGCCGGAGTTTCTGGGTCGAAAAGGTGGCGGGGCAGCACATCCGGGGAGACCAATCGGGCTTCTTCAAGGACGGACGCAAAGGCGGGCCGAACGGTAGGCAACATGAGCGGCATCCAAACGAGCGCCTCCCAAGGACGGGCGCGGCCGTGCAAGCTCGGACCGAACAAGCGCCCTAGCAGCACGCAATATCTCGGTGCCTTCAAAATCCTCTAGGCAAAGTCTAGGACCGGCAGCATTTCCTTCGGTCTTTGAGCAAGATATTTTTGCTTGATGGTAAAAGTCAGCCCGATCAGTACTCGCTCCGATGAGCTTCGTACCTGACTTCGTAGTGAGGCACGTAAGTAGCTGCCCCGGGGGCAAATGTTTTGAAGGCCCAGGCCCATCGACTCGGTCCTCGCAGCCGTTGGCACCTCGTCTGTCGCCGATCTGGCGGTCGGCGGTGTCGGACTTGTAAGCCCCGAACACCCGAGTCAGCTCTCGCGGAGCCTTCTCATCCGTCGAGATATACAAGAGACCCCTGGCGTCCCAGACTCTGAAAAGTTCCCGCATCCTCGCGGCGTCTTCTCTGCTTGCATCAGGGTAGGGCAGCGGATTTGGCGGGATAGACCTCAGCACACGAGGCTCCAGGAAAGGGAGCAGAAGCTCAGGCCCCAGGTAGCGCTCGAGAGGCCCCCCCTCGTCCGCTTATCTTCAGTCTCTTTGGGTCCGCGTCCCGATAGGGCCTAAGTGCTTCGGGGTCGTCTGCCCCATGAGGAACAAAACCCGAACCGAAATTCTCCCTAGGGTAAGGAAAGGCAGAGAGTCCCAAGCCCGGCAAATACAAATCGAGTTCCCTCAGCCTTGCGATAAGATGGGGCCCTCGTCGGCCCGCTGCGAGGGAATGAGACCCTCGCTCACTGCACGCTCTCAACATGGTCCTCAGCCTCGAGAAGATTGTCTCATGTAGAGGAGAAGGCACTAGGCATAGGCGGTCAACGGGCACATATTTGAAGTCAGCCTTTAACCTAGCCTGAGGGCCGCCTGGTCCAAACAAAGACAAGTCTGGGATGGGCAGCGGAAAGAGAGCGGTAGGGGAGACCGGAAGGCCTCTTGAAAGGGCGCAAAAAGTACTCTGTAGGAACTTCGCAAAGGAGGTCCGGCTAGCAGAGATCAGACGCGGCAGGGCTGAAGCCCAAGACCAAAAGTCAAATTCGGAGCAAAAGTCGGGGACTCCATCAAAAGGGGATGCATCCGACGCTCGTGGTGCAGCGTGGGGTTTCGTAGTGCTCGTGGTCACACAAGTAGCGGCCCAATCAGACGGCCCTGTGGAAGACCCAGTCGTATGCTGGCAGGGCGGAAGCAGCCTATCAAAAGGGCGCTCTGAAGTAGCAGTTGCTGAAGGCGGTGCCTCACCAAAGGTGGGAAGGGACGGCTCAGAGGCGAGCCCAAGACCTGCATCATCAGGCAGTCCGGCCTGGGACTGCAGACTACATCCTAAAACCTGAGACGAGGCCTTATAATTAACCGCCAAGGGACTAAGCTTAGGGAGAACAAGGGGAGGAGAGGAGCAGACGGGGCCAATATAAGGCCGCTCATCCGCAGACTCCACATCCTTTGGAAGGCTCCGATTCAGCTCTTCGGCTGAGCCGCCTTCCTTTCCGCCCATAGTTTTGCCCTTTGTTGTTTGCGAGACAGGGTCCCTGGTGCTTTCGGTGGCACTTCCGGGGGTGGTGCCGCGCTGGGCTTCTTTGCCACTTCTGCTCGCCGCGATGCCAAAATCTCCATCTCCTTTACATAGGAGAGAGCAGTAGCCACCCACCTTGGGTCCGATAAGTGGCTGCACGGACGCAGGCTGGAGCCTGCCACATTTGACTGGGCGGAGAATAGCTGGCCTGGTGGATCCGGTTGGAGAGTTAATATCCAACCAAGCTCTGGAGAACCAGAGTCTAGGACCATCTGGTCCACCATCATCATCAATATGGCTAAAGCATCTTTCGCCCCGGCGACCTGGTCTGAGCCCAGCAAATCGAAGATTTGGGCTGCCACTGCACCAAGCCCCAGGTACGGAGGTCTCAGAAGCCACCTTATCGTTCAGGTACCTGCACATCACCGACCTTCCAATCGCGTCCTCGCCAACCTGGAGAGGGCCGGAGGCGGGGTCCATCCTCCTCAGTGCAGCCTCCTGCACTCTCTCGTAGAAAGACCCATTGCGAGCGGCAAGCTCCTTTTGCAACTTCAATCTGGCCGCCGAACCCTTTGTCGATAGGGACGAGCTTCCTCCACCAAGATCGGAGAGGGGATCCGATGAGCTGGTCATCTGAGCCACTAGGGCAGTTAGGGCTCGACTCTGCGCCAGAACCGCAGCTGCGATTGGTCCACCGGCGTCCTGTGACTCCTCCTCGATAGGGCCAATTCCCAAACCGTCGTCGATCGGGAATCCATCCAGATCGGCGGGAGGTGCCTTCGGTCGGGGCGGAGCCCCAATCAGAGCTGATACTTTCTTTGGCCCGGCGGGGCTGTTGCGATCGTCGCTGACACAGGCATGGCCAAGGCCGGCTATGGCGGTGGGTCAGCTCTCATCTGAAACCTGTGGCGACTCGGGAACCGGGGCCACCACGGCTTGGCCTGCACTTGCGAGATTCTGCACCTGAGTCGACAAAGCCTGCAGGGCCTGCATGATATCCGACTGCTGTGCAGCCAACTGAGCGACCGTTGGCTTCTTCTTTCACTCCACTGGCGGCCCCTTCGCTCGTCTGCCCAAAGCCGGGGGCTGGTCCGGAACCAACTCCTCCGCCGTGACGTAGCCTGCCCCTCGGTCTCCTTCCACTCCTGCGGTCCCGCTGGTTGCAAATATGACCAGTATAGTCGCCAAGGGATACATGTTTGGGTGCTCGGATGGAAGGGGACCATGTCCGCAGCGTCATCCACCTGCACCTCCACGCCGGCCAGAGCCTCTTCTGAGAAGTCGGCAAGCAAAACGTCGAGGTTTCTGGCCGGGTAAACGCCGGCCCATCTCCCGACTCCATCAGCTCTACTGCAGGGGCCGAAGTCTCTGTGTGAGGGCCGAGAGCCCCACGAAATCCTTCCCCGGATATATCCAGTAGCACTTGAGAAGGTAGGTAGCCCGCAGGGAGCACCAATAAGAAACCTCCAGGACGCTTCAACACGCAGTAGGCCGCGGCCCAAGGGACCTCGCCTTCGAGGCCTAAGGCCAGAGCATAATTCAGTCTCAAGAGCACGACCTCTCCAGTGTCTGCAGCTACGATTTCCTCCATCGCTAGTGTAGACGGGGCTAGGGGTAAGTGCAGCCGGCTGCGGCCGTAAAGATTCTGACCTCGGTTTCCGAAACAAATCCGTGGGAAACCACCCTAGGATCCTTAAAGTGGTCAACCAAACAAAGGTAAGAGCCTCGGTCCCTGCAAACCTGAACGTGATTACAGCTGCTGGACCTCAACACCACGTAATAACGTGATGTGAAGGATATGGGAGGGCTGCTATTAGGAGTGGGAACGCGGCCTTGCAGAACAGCCCCTGCCAACACCCTTCTTGCCACGCGCGTTCGACCCGCTCGCGTGCTGGCACAGAACCCGACCTAAGAATCCTAGCTGAATCCAGGTAGAACCTAGGGATAGGGGAGAAAGAAACCTCGATATCAGATCGAATCTCAGAACGGAATGGACTAGGGGTCACTAACTACCTCATCCCAAGAACCTCCCTCAGTTGAGCTGGAAGCCGGGGCACTCGGGGCCCGTGATGCACTGGTAGCGGTTGCCCGAGGAGGAGTCCTGGGAAGCGGCTCAAATGATTGGCCAGGAGGCCGGGTCCTTATAATAGAAATTCGAAATCCCTCGAGCTCCAGAGATAATTCAGTCATAGCGTCAGAGGCGAGTTCGCCCATATAAGGAGAGTCGGGCCTGCCCTACCGTGGGTTCGGCCGGCTCGGACTCCCTACTGTTCCGTGCGAGGCTTTAATATCTTAAAAAAGGTGAGGAGAGGATGAAGTAAGCAGCAAATCCAGTTACTATCAGAAATCCAAGAAGAAAAGAAAAAGCGATAGCCGGCAGAGCTACTCCATTATAATGAACAAGATACCTCAAATCCCAAAGATCAATCCTCAGACCTTCCAGAACAAAACTCAAAGCCTCCCAGAAGACAAGGCCCCCCATCATGCTTGAACCGAAAACCGCCGTAAGCTCATTTCTCCCTCGTCACTATTATCAAAGGTTTTTTCTTTCTCTTTTGAGAATCTATTTAACTATAGCACCTCGATATTTCTTCCTAAAATTTATCGATACTACTTTTAATCTCACGAAATCATATCAAAATAAAATACTATCAAATACGAAGATCTCCCAGATAATACTCTATAAAAGATGATTTAATCTCATATCTTAAGATCCTATCATCCTAAATCAGAAATCGAAATTATCATTCAAAGATCGATCACGGATAAAAATCGATACTAATCCAAATAAATAATTTCAAGCAATCTCCAATCTATCCTAGAATCTTATATCATTAATATTCAAGAGAATTATTAGACTCGTAATCTCATTCCTATTGAGAAATCTATTGCACCGCAAGACCTAACAACCTCCTTTATCCGTAAACGAATTTATGAGAACAATACGAAAGCAAGATAAAATGAGATTTCGAATTATCCAAATAATATAATCTATAGATCTATGGCACTCCAAATCATAAAATCCTAATTAATTACAACTCCGTGACAGATATAGAAACGCTAAACGACTATAGCATTAAGAGGCAAAAGTTATCTGCCTAATGCCACAATTTATTTGAAGCTATTAATCAATTGAATACGTAAGATACCGACATATATCAATAATAATAAACAAACCAACTCACAAGACGCCTATTCTACTTGAGTCAAGTAAGTCGCAACAATCCACTTCTAATCTCTCCTAACTAACTTGTACAGAGCATATACAACAGTGCAGAAGGTACGTATACCGATAACTATTATCAAAGTTCTTATACCTCTTTGAATAATTCGCACTTCGCGGCACTTCGCTACTCCGCAAGACGTCTTGAGACAAGAAAGGCCCAATAGGTCAAAACTGTTGTCCTCCTGATGCATACTGCTCCTCGGAGCTATAAAACAAATTGCGAAAACATTTTGGTTTGCTATTTCATGTCATCTCGTCTGTTCCAGGCACAGTAGTCCCATCGGCTCTGAGGATTATTTCATATCTTGGGAGCTATTGGTCTGAAGCGCGGCGTTCAAGGGCGGCAAGCCGCCGTCGTCGGAGCTCTTCCACAGGGACGGCAGGTGCAGCAGCGGATGTTGCGGAGCTTCCGCGCAAGCTGAAGCCGGCCACAAGCAAGGCCAGGACGGTCCAGAAGAGGATTGCAGAGTTATCGACGAGGATATCAATATACACAGCCCAGGCCGAAGGGGAGGGACCGTTGGTGTCGAAGACTAATACAGCGAAAGGTGGCAATTCCAGGGAAGCGACGCGGCCCCGGACCAATTGGATCTGTCTTGGCCGCTGGTCAGAATATGGCGTGTTGAGCACAAGAGGCCCAACAACATATTCTGGAAGTGAGAAAACTTTCACAGGATCAACATAGACTGATTGCCTCTGTGGGGAGGGGTTTCTCAAGGTCAATATTGCCGATGTCTTCTGCGTACTTCCATGCCAAGCGGCCCAACCATATACCTCGCCCTTGGCAGGATCTCCTCCGAACCACTGAACATCAGCGAGAGTCTGGATTCGATCACTGGCCCACTTAGCTGCTTCTGCAACATCGTCCCAGTTCTCGCGATTCAATAAGCTGGGTGTCACATACAGCTCTTGCAGCATCACGCCAGATCCAAAAGCTGACCTGACTTCATGCTTGAAGGGCTCATTCGACAATCCTGGTCCCGACCCCTCCGGCTGATTCAGGTCCCAGGCATCCTTCGCAAAAACTATTCCATGAACCATCAATGAGCTGAGAGGGAACAACGGCGACTGCGTCACAACATTTGCATAGACCATTGCATCGCGATATGTTATCCACCGCTCACGCGCTGGCCCTCTGCCCTCGAAGTAGTGGTCATGGCCCCTTCGCCATACCTAGATCATGGTTGGGATAATATTTGCAATGTAAATCTTAATTCCGTATTGGCCGTAAGTTTTCATAACAATGCAAAATGTTACTTAGAAGGAGCCCCCACCCTGTAATAGTGACTGTAAGGATTATATTAGGGCCCCGTTATATCCCTACTATACCACTATTACAGGGTGGGGGCCCCTTCTAACATGTTACCCAATCATGACTAAGATACAGTGTCTGAATAAAGGAGCCAGAAGGGAGACGGCCAGGTCCCTGTTGAGAGATTGATGAAGACATGGCTGCTGATCTTCCGCAGCTCTGCTATGAGGCTCCTAGGCTCCCAAAAAGCAGCCCCTTACGGTTCAGGGTTTAGGGTTGGTAGAAATGTTATGGTATATTCTAGTATGTTAATAATACTTTATAGTCGCCCCCCAAAAAATAAGAGTATCTCGTTTTAACAAGGGAACCCAAAGACAAAAAGGGCAAAAGGGTACTACTCAGGAACCAAGGCTCACAGCTGCATCGAAGTCTTCTTCCAGCGTTTCGTCCAGACCGGCCGGATTCCCGATGCCATCAAGCTTCAAGAGCTTCGCGCCTCCAAGCAACCTAGGCTGTTTAGGGTATGTTATTATGCTTTTGGGATTACTCATACTATACTAAGAACCGGAAACAAAAAAGGATACTACTGAGCATCCTAGCAACCATGTCCAAATCTGATCGCGCAGGTGCAGGTAGTACTCTTTGATACCCAGGCCCAAAAAGGCGGAGTGCACTCCGGGATCGAAACAGACTCGAATGTCCTTAGGCGTTCTTCATTCAGGAACCCGTAAAACCAAAACACCCAAATTGCCAAATAATGGGATCCTTCTCACAACGCACCCCTATACAGGGGCCCGAATCGTCGGAAACCCAACACCAATGGCCTTCCGATACAGCTTGAGGTCGGCTTTGGGATTCTGACTGGAAACAAAGTCCGCAGCACCTCTCTGCAAAATGCAAAGTCTCACTTACCGACGTACCCAGAGACTCCAAAACCCCTTAATTAAGGAATATACCCTAAATCATATTAGGAATCATACTATACTTTAAGGTATAGTCTCTGGGTACTTTCCTTGAGGCCGAAAACCCGAGATCAGGTTCCACGCTTTAAACCCGGAGTCGACACCTCAAACCTCCCTGGTTGAGGGCTTAGGGTCTCTTAGGGGGATCCTAAGCCCTACATAGTAGGGCCTATAGGGTCTCTTAGGGGATCCTAAACCCTACATAGTAGGGCCTATAGGGTCTCTTAGGGGATCCAGTTTAGGGTTTAAGCTTTAGTTTAGGGTGTAGGGTTTGATCCTAAACCCTGCATAACACCAAAAGCTCCCTCCATCTTCGAGTGTCAGAGCCGGAAATGCCCGAGAGGTCCACCCCCGGTGGGCTAATGGCGAAAGTGGTATGCCAGCACTCGAGCTGCCCCCGACAATCCTGATTTTCAGGAGGTCGGCTAACGGGGAACAGGGTTTTGGACTGCAGTTTCGGGCTTTGGGGTTTAGGACTTTGGGATTTGGAGGTTCACTCTTCTCCTGCAAATAGAAGTAGCACCTCAATTTTCAAATCATTAAGAGTAGATATATCATTACCCGTACAGACGAGGCTCATGATTGCTGCCGCAGCTGCCCTCCCCTTCCTCGCAGGGTGATGCCTGTGTGCAGCCGCCTGCGAGGTGAAGCTCAGGACTTCTGGAAACATATCCTCTGGAATCACTAAGCATCCACTGAATTTCGATGCAAAAACTTCCCAGAATATGAAGCCTCTGTGCAATGAAGAAAGAAAGAAGCCCTGCCGCACACGCTTCGTTTCGAACATCGCCTCCGTTCACGTCCGAGTACCAACACAGCTGCATAAGAATATTACTAGGCATCATAACACTGATGTAAGACAACGATCATGATAAGACTCATCATCATAGTCCTGGAAATAACTACCCCTAAACCCTAAACCCCGAAACTCTAAACCCTGCGGTGACGGCTGCGCTCCTTTGCGGAGCACAGCCGACTTCCTCTCTCGCGTCTCCTCCCGCACGGGGATGTCTGCCCTCCTGGCAGCAAGGACACGCCGCTGCCTGGCGTGGACGCTTCGGGGGGTTTAGGGTTTAGGGGGTTGATTAGGGTTTAGGGTTTAGGGAAGATAGAAATCGTTAAGGGCTTGGTTACCGAACACAGTTTGACCGAAAGTTTGATATTTGACGGCGGGCTGGCGGGTTGCACTTTGGGTGGTTCATGGAGTTCAAGGTGAACGAAGACATGCAGTTCCTGTTCATTTCTTTATTGTAGGTTTAGGGTTTAGGGCTTGGACTCAACTCAAACCTTATTTCGATCTATGATCTAGATGGCGCGCTGCATCACACAACGAAAGTCTGTACTTGAACGTCGTGCCTTGCTTCATGGTAGCCCCCGAAGGGCGAAAACCACAGGCCCAGGGAGGTCTTCCAGTGTGTCGCGCGGGCTTCCAGCTGCTTCAAGTCACGAAACCCTTCGTGGGCGTTCCACGGCCCACTGTCTGGGTCGTCCCAGCCATCATCGAGAAGGAAAGAGTCTAGCATGACCCCTCGTCGTGACAGCTCTCTCGCGATGTGATCTAGCCGATTTATTGCCTGCTTGGCATCGAACTGTTGGCCCGTTCCAATATCATACCAGCTGTTGTAGTGCAGCATCTTCCTTGAGGGATGAGCACGCTCTCGTTCCAAGTAATGCAAGAAAGATCGCCGTACCTGGCCAGGCACTGTCACGCCCAGAACCAAAGCTGCGTGCGGGCCGTGCTCTTTAATTTTCGCAGTATGCTGCTTTAAGCAGCATCGATATTCTCCGGCCTTGGCTGAATTCAGGCCCTGCGGGTGTTCGAGACCAAAGAAGAAGTCATCTGAAGTAATGGGGACACCGTCAACTTTCCCCGCCACAGAGCTGCCCGGCAAGTTGCCAGAGAGCAAACACAACTCCGCCTCTGCCTCCGGATCGCCTTCAGCGCTCTGCTCGTCTGCGCTCCGCCCGCGGTAAGTCAGCCGTGCAGAGAGCTTCAAGTAGTTGGAGCCGTCGCGGAGCTCCACTGACCAAACTGCCATCCAGGGCGCTGAAACCGCCTCCATGACGGCAGTGACAGCCCATCCCGGCATGCTTAAAGCCAGCTGGGATGCGTTTGCCTGAGCTTCGATCCTGCTCAGGTTCATGCCGACTACCCGAAAGTCGGTGATATCCTGGCCTGCGCCTGGCCCTGGACCCACTGGAAGCCTGGCAAGAAGAACATCTGCAGGAGGCATCTCTCGTCCGGACATCCTGTTTGTCACACGTATCGCTTGGAGAAGTCCATCGCGGCCTGCGATCTGCGCCTCCAAGACGGCATTCCGCAGTCTGAAATTCCATGCCTCGAGCTCGGAGCCCTCAGAGGCCCCGGGCTGCAGATCCCCGGCCGAGGGCAGCGCAGCGAGGCCAAAGCCCAGGCACTGCAGGCAGACAACGGCAAGAGGCCCGGCAGCTCGCCTGACCCTGAGCTGCAACATCTGGGCTGCCGGGGAAAATTGCCGAGTAGAAATCTGATCCTACCAAGGTGCTCAAGACGTCCCCGTGCCCCCCTTTTTGTAATCACTCAACACATGAATGCTCCGAGTAGTCTTGGAGCCGTGGCTGAGGGAAGCGGCTCTTCATCAGATGCTCACAAGGCAACAGCTCTCTGGTGCCCCTAAACCCCCCTAAACCCCAAAACCGGGACCCTAAACTCCTTAGTGACGACAACCGCGCGGCTTTTCAGCGGTCGGTTGTGCGGCGTCTTCCATCTCTCCGCCTCACTACACCGCCCGGTATGATACCACCTGAGATGAGAAGTCCAGGTTTAGCCTCTGGGTTCAGGCTTTCGAGTTTAAGGCTTAGGGCTTAGGGTGCTGGACCATCACTGGCGACATTGCTTCCATTCTTGCTGCTGCCTGCACCTTTCAATATCACCGGACTGTTGTGTCTTTGCCGGCCTTTCCGCTGATGCTGCTACGGTGACTGTAGTTTGTATGCTCTGATTGTGCTGCTACTGCAACGACCGAGGATGTGGCCCTAAACACCGAAACCCCAACGTCACCCTAAATAAACCCAAAAACACATCACAACGTGACAGCACAAAGAGACAGGCCGAACTTACTGCGCTACTCAGGGGTCTAATTGCTCCTGTTCCAGAACCTCATCTTCCTTCCCCTGCACCAGCTTTTATTCGTGCTCCTCCGACTACTAGCCCTAAGAGGTACCCCTAAACCCTAAACCCTACTATGAGGGTAGTTCTCTGAGGACCACGCGAGAAGAAGTCGGGGCCGAACCTGCAAGCGAAGCAAAGATTCTCAGGTTCTGCCTTCCTCTGCCAGAACGACCCTGAAGGGTATAAGGGTTATAGGGGTTCCTTTAAAGGGGTTCTATAAGGGTTACTATAAGGGTTAGCATTTAGGGTTTAGGGCAGGTTTTTTTAGGGGTTTCACTTTAGGGCGGGGTTCGAGTAAAAAAACGAATCACAGCCTCAATCCATCGCTGGCGAACTGAGTCGCCAGCTTCTGGTTGGCGGCTGGCCATTGCCCACTCTGCTCGCAGGAGCTGACCACAGCCTTTGTTTCATGCTCACACCCCTTCTCGAGCTGCATGGAGCTACATGGGTGCTTGTCAACATTATGGCCCCTTTTTGAATACCCTAAATATTAGGTGCCGTATTATAATAAGGACCCAAGGCGGGACCCTCATTTTGACAACCACCCACATGGAGCAGCATTGAGTTGAAGGCGTTAAAAGTGTTCGAGTTGTGCTCAAGCCTCTTCTGGTGCATCTCCTCAAACCAGCCTGCAGGCAGGGTAAAATGCAGAAACAGAAGAACTGGACAACAAGCATGTCAGCGCGCCTAGGGCTCGCTGCCACTGCAGGCTCTTCTCGCAGGACATGATGCAGGCATGGTAGGTGATGGCATCCCGCCGTAACTCAGCATCGATTTCAAATCGCATGCCCTTCAACCACATGACTCATGTGCCCCGCGCGAATCAAAGCTCCGGTAGTCAATTGAACACTCTAGTCCACAGGGGCCGTTATAATTCGAATAGAGCTTGGGGGCATATCGAGAGTAAGGAATGTCTTCGGGCGAACTTTCTAGCAGATTCAATAATGAACACTGTGTCTTAAACGCGGCGCAAACCCACACCCTTGACCCTGAACCCCAAAACCCGTAAACCTTAAGACCCTAGACCCCTAAACCCCTAACCCCTAAACTCTAAACCCTGAGGCCCTAAACCCCCACACCCTAAATATACTTTCTCTGGACCCCTAAATTCTTCAACGCTGCTGGGCCCCGCGACCTGTCCACGGTTCATGTCCTCCAAGAGATGGAGGACGTGCTGCCACTGGCCAGCTTCATCACATGCTGCCTTGGTGCACATGCCCTCCCTTTTTATACTTGGGTTCAGCTGCGATAATAAGGATCTATAAGCGCTCCGCTAAGGGATCTAGAAGGATTCCTGTAAGGGTTAAGGAGTCTTCTTTTCCTGGGGTTTCCTTATTATGGTGGCTTAGACTATGGTGAATAACATGGACTCCTTATTGTGGTAACTTTGATGACTTTCTTGCTAAGGAGTTTAGTTCAAGTTACCAGAACGAGGATACATAATGAAACATGGTTTCCTTGCTTTGGCAACTGAACTTAAACTCTTAATGGCATGTCCCTCAGAAATGCAACCCCGCACGGCCAAGCCACCATGCAGGCGTTGTAGGTGATGGAACATCGCTCCACCTTTCCAGTTTTTCCCACAACTCCATCGAGACTGATGTCGTACCGGTCATGGTAAGGAGCCGACGTCATGGTGTTCCATTTGAGACACTATTGTCAAGGCTAGCTCCCATTCGTGCCCTTTCTCGCAAGCACCTCGTCCAACCGTAAACAACTGAAGCAATGTCAGCCATAAGATCACCAGCCACAGTAAGCACCTCACTTACAGTCGCGTTGTAGGTAATGGATGTCTTCTGGATGGTCATGCCTGACTTAGTGAGAAGTCAGATTTGCCGAAGAATGCCGTCCACACTTTGCAGGAGCAATACATCACGGTACGATACAATCGAGCCCCCGTGCCTTCCATCTCGCTGAAGAGAGCCAGGGCGTGTTGCCACTGGCCCGCTTTCTCGCAAGCACTGGCAAGATCGGGGATGGGAGCTTCCGAAAAGAAGGGGTACCTTCTTTTGGGGTCTGTATAATAAGCATCCTACTAACTAGGGTGCTATATTAGGGTCCTCTATTGTCGGAAACTCCCGGGTCGTGCCAGTCAGAAGTCAGAGTGATCAGCAAGCGTGCTGAAAATGCACGTCTCGGCCTTATGCAGGCATTGTACACGATGCACTCCTTGTCCACGTTCTTGCGCGCCAGGAGCTGTCGGCTTGTAGCTAACCAGCGACCGGAAACCTGTGCAAAAGCTTTAGGGTTTAGGGTATTTCGTTGCTATTGGTCTAGGACTGCACCTTCAGCCGCCCGAGTGTTGGCTTGGACACCAAGCGCATCGTCTACCTGCAGGTAGCTCAAGCATTTGGTTGCCCCCCCCCCCCCAGTGGTATTTCCACTCGCGCCTAGCAGACCTCTCCATCGTCTGCACTCCACGCGCAACAGTACAGCGATCTGCTGCAGAGCCATTGCGCTCTCCGGCGCCTCGGATCCCCTGTTACGTGGTTCATGGTTGAGATAGTTCAAAAATTGCACTTCTATTCCTTGTTATTGAGTTTAAGTATCCATAGAAATGCACAATCTTACCCAGCTATGACAAAGGTTACACAAAGAGCTTAACTGTGAGAATCCTGTGATCTCCAGGGGGCTTTGCATGCCTGCTTCACTCCGAGGGCTGAGTAAAAGCAAATCTAAACCCTAAACCCTAAACCCTAATACCCTACAGGGATCTCCAGAAAGTTGGAATATGGATTAATGGTAGGATCCCCTATAATTTACCTTGAAGGGGTTACGATAATGATATTCCAACTTTCTGGCTTCTACTGTAAAGCCAGCTGTTGCACAGTAGGTTCATGCCGAAGAAAGTTGAGCTGGCCAGACGTCTTTGCCAGGCAGCATGTGGCAGGCACACTCTGTGGGTGGTTGTCAAAGTTAAGGTCCATTTTTGGGTACCCTAAATATTAGGTGCCGTATTATAATAAGGACCCAGAAAGGTGCCCTCATTTTGACAACCACCCATGTAAAGAACATGCAGGTGCAGTCTGACACGCGCCGCTTTTCCTGCGCCGTTGCATGCCAGGGTGGTTCTGCCGAGCTCCTTACTGCTGCGCGTATCGGTGCACTAGAGGATTAGGGATCCGTACAGGGGGGGGGCTGTACTTCCTTAAGTAGGCCTTATGAAGTCCTTATTAAAGGTCCCCTACCCCCTCGCCCCTAAGGGTCCCTCATGACTAGAGATTGCAAGACAATCTTGCTCGGGCCAGGGCCAAACAAAGAGCCGAATGGGCGGTCACCTCGATCAGCTCCAGGACATCGGCCAAGGGCACTCTGCCTGATATGGGTGGTTGTCAAAATTAGGGCCCCTTCTTGGGTACCCTAAATTTTATTTGCCGTATTACAATAAGGATCCAAAAAGGGACCATAATTTTGACAACCACCCATATGAGCAGAGATGAAACGGGCTCAGCACTGGAGATAACACAACATCACATCCAGTGCGCCTCGTTCACATGCTGCGACAGCGTAGCACAAGCTTATGACATCCTGCCACGAGCAGACTGGGGACCAAGCGAATCAAATCTCCTCTGAAATGCAGTGACTTGTGTACGAACAGCCACAGAATTCGGGGAGTTCAAGCCCTAAACCCTAAACCCTAGACCCTTTTCCAAAATTAAGGTTTACAGCACTCACTGCACTCTACCACTGTTGGGTCTGAAAGCTGGCAAGGCACCGAACGCTTACAAGCCAAAACCAGAAAACCTTCAAGACCCTAAACTCAAAGGGGAAAAGGCCTAGAGCCCATTATAGGGTAGGGGTCACCATTAAGGGTTCAAGCCCCAAAGCCCGCACCCCTAACATCCTACCCCTAAAATCCTAAACCAGCAACCTTAAAGCCCTAAGCCCCAAATCCCTAAGACCCTAAGACCCTAAACTCAAAGGGGAAAAGGAAGAAGGACCCTTAATAAGGACCCCTAGCTACATACCCTGAATCTAGCTATTATATACCCATTATAGGGTAGGGGTCCCCATTAAGGGTCTCTCCTTTCCCCCTTTGATAAACGGTTGTTTCTGCTCCCGCCTTGGAGACAACAGCCGTCGCCATCTCCTCCACCACACTCAGCGCAGCCTGAGTGTGTTTTGGGAAGGTTTGGGGCTTGAGAGTTTTCGGGGTTTGGGGTTTAGGGCTTGGCTGTTTTAGGGTTCTGGGGCTGGTTTTGGCAGTTTTGGATTTGGGGGTTAGGGCTTTGCTGTTTTGGGGTTTTGGGGTTCAGGGCGTCTGTTATTCTTCCTGGGCTCTTTTTCTCACTGCTGTGACGATTGCGAGATTCCAAAACCAGGATGAGCCGTCAGAGGCTGTAGGGTAAGTAGCTGGGTCTGGGACAAGAGGAGTTCAAAAGGTCAGGTCAATCCGTAGCCAAAAGTCGAATCCATCGAGTTTAAGGGCTCAGGGCTCAACCCTAAACCCTACACCCTAAACCCTAAGGTCCAGGGCCTTGCCAACCTGAATCCAAAGGTCACGTCCCCTGGCAAAATTTTGAGGCGGCCTTGGAATGGAATCGAGGCATATTCCAGGGCTCTTCTCCCAGGGAACGGGGGAATGGGTTATGGGGGCTATTATGTATTAGGGATTATATAGGGGCTACTATAGGGATCCATTCCCCCATTCCCTACTAAGAACCAGACAGTCTTGACTCCGTCGGGCCAGAACATGTATCTGCTGCGGCTTTAGTCGTAACTCTGTCTGGTAATCATATGGGAAGTTCTCTTAGCTAGGGTACCCTTTTTGGTCCCCAAACTAATACGGCACCCATTCAGAGAACTACCCACATCGTACCCTTATAGATCCCTATAAGGAACCCTAAAAAGGGACCCTAACTTAGAGAACTACCCATATAGTACCCTTATAGATCCCTTTCAGGAGCCATAAAAGGGACCTAATTTAGAGAACTACCCAGAATAAAGGGCCTTAGTAAGTAGAATAGGTTTGGGGGCCGAAAAAACTATAAATAAAACAAGGAACCTCCAAAATAGTATGGGTAATTGCTAAGGCCCTATATGTTGTTGCTGGACTCACCCCAACCCTGCAGGCCTCCCATTCGTCCCGGCAGGCTGCCACCGAGGATGAAAAGGACAGCACATCCTTCACACAGGCTTCACAAGCTTTGGGGTTAGTTTGCTTTTAAAGTGCACTGGCGCATGGAAAAAAATTGGGTTCAGGGGTTAGGGCCTTCAGGGGTTTAGGGTTCGGCATGAACGCTGAAGGCAGCGGCTGTTAGGAAAGCTATGTCAACAACTACCAGCACTCCAAAGGATGGTACGAAGCGGCAGCTGTCCGGAAAACTCCCCCAAAAGTTGAGGAGGATTGTGCAAGAGGAGCAAGCTTGCTGCCTCTGGTTCAGGTCCTGGAAAGTTACTTGGAGGATCTGGGGACTTAGTAAGTAAGGTTATAAGTACCCTAGTTGGGGTTATATGTATAGATACCTTATGGATAATCCTAATACTAAGTCCCGTGATCCTTTAAGTACTCTGCACTTGGGGTCAGCAGTTTAGCGGGAGCTTGAGCACAGCGAAACCCAGGAGAACCACGAAAACACACGGAAGAAACCCCTCCTGAGGAGGGGTAAACATACGAGATTGGCCTGGCAAGACGAATTCTAAAGGTAATATAGGGGCCTTAATAATTAGAAGATTGTTTTGGGCCCATTTTACTATAACCATAATAAGGAACCCCCGCCACAATATTGGTAATTATTTAGGCCCCTATAGTAATCGAACCTCCCAAAAAATGCCGCCGAACTCCTCCCATCTCCCCAATTGCATAGGAGTTTATACTTCCATGATACCGACAGCTTCTTGGCTGACTTCTGAGCCCCTCCTAAAAGTTAAACTTTTAGGTTCCTTATCAGGATTCAAAGAGAAACCCAAGAAGTTAAAGTCCTAAGAGCCCACCAAAAGAACGCCAAGGCTTTCTGAGCCCCTTGTAGAACCCCTGTTAGATCCCTTAAAGGAAGTACCCCTACCCAACAAAAAAAGGGTTAATGGCTACTTCGACTACAAGGGCTTTGCCAGCATTAGTATTATAGTATGATAGCATGATAGTACTATAGTATTATAGCACTATGGTACTATAGTATTATAGCATTATAATACTTTTTAGTATTGTAGCATTATAGTATTATAGTATCATTACTAAAAGTGTGATAATATCCTAATCTAGGGCTTTCTGCTCCTGCTCGACCCGGACAGCTCGAAGCTCACGCAGAAGCTCCAACCTGCTCACGGACTAGGGTTTAAGTATAAGGGCCTTCATAGTTAGAACAGGGTTTTGAGGGCCCATTGTACTATATTCATAATAAGGACCATGGGACTTAGTAAGTAGGTTATAATTGGGGTTTAGGTGTCCCCTAAGTCCTAATTATAACCTACTCATAACATTACTTACTAAGTCCCACAAGCCTTCAAGTAGGGTTTAAGATAAGGGCCTTCATGGTTAGAATAGAGCTTTGGGGGCCCATTATTTTATATTCACAATAAGGAACCCCCTGAAAATAGTATAGCTAATCTTTAAAGCCCCTATACTATAGTACCCGTATAGATCCCTTACAGTAACCCTTACGGACCCTTTATCAGCCCCCGAGTTATAGTGTACAGCGTTCGGGGACTACTTTACTAAACTTAGAACCCTAGCAAAAAATGTAATTTTAGCTGTTTCTTAGGGATTTTAATAACCAAAAATTAACAAATATTTCTAAGTACCCCTAAGACTAAGGGAGCTGGAAAGATGAGCCCCCGGCGCCCCGGACCAGCGCGAGCCATCGGAGGCAGCTGTGACGGCAGAGTGGTGGATCAAATCGCCTCAGTCTTCAGGAGGGTTTTTGAGGGGCTTGGGGGGTTTAGGGGGTTTAGGGGACTTGGGGGTTTAGGGGGTTTGGGGGTTCAGGGGTGTGCGGGTTGAGGCTCAGTCTTCAGCTTACCTCTGGTTAGTAGGAAATGGAGGAATGGGGTACAATTATAACTACTATTACTACCATTCTTCCATTCCCTACTAATCAAGGTAAGAGGAGGGTTTGGGAGGTTTAGAGGTTTGGGGGTTTAGGGGGTTTAGGGGGCTTGGGGGTTTGGGGGTTGAGGGCGCTTGGGGGTTTGGAGGGTTTGGGGGTTTAGGGGGTTTGGGGGTTGAGGGCGCTTGGGGGTTTGGGGGTTCAGACGGTTTAGGGTTTAGGGTTTGGGGGAGTCTTTAGGGGAAGGAGCAGGGCACTGCAGGTTTCAAGCCTGGGCATGCGCCAGCAACGGGCCATGAGCACACCCGTCGCCAGCGGCCGCGGGATGGAAGCAACTTCAAGTTCTAACTGCTGTGGCAAGTAACATCGTAAAGCGGCACTGAGTACGTGCAAAAGATACATAGTATGAATGACCTGTGCAGTATGCTCACATCCTGACTATTGCTACTGCTGCTACCGATACCACCACTACCATGACCCTAAACCATCTAAACTACTTGGAGGGGCAAGGGACTTAGTAAGTGGGTCATAAGTAGAGCTATAAGTACCCTAAATGGAGTTACCCCAATTATAACCCTACTTAAACGGCTTACTAAGTCCCCTGGCCCTCCAAGTAAACCCCAAACCCTATAGATCCCTTTTAAGGAACCGCATAGATCCCTTTAAGGAACCCTATAGATCCCTTCAAGGAACCCTTTAGATCCCCTTAAGGAACCCCATAGATCCCTTTAAGGAACCCCATACATCCCTTTAAGGAACCCTATAGATCCCTTTAAGGAGCCCTTTCAGAGCCCTTACAAAGTCCCGGGTTTCCTGAGGCACGGACTCCTTCGAAGCTGCCAGTCATGGAGCTCCTTTCCGTGAATCGCGCAGGTCACAAGGTCCCCTCTATCCGATGATTTCGGTTACTAAAGGGATCCATAGGGTTCCTTAAAGGGATCTAAAGGGTTCCTTAAAGGGATCTAAAGGGTTCCTTGAAGGGATCTAAAGGGTTCCTTAAAGGGATCCATAGGGTTCCTTAAAGGGTTCCTTAGAGGGTTTAGTTTAGGGTTTAGGGTCTAGGGGACTCAGGAAGTAAGGTTATAAGTCCCCCAATGGGGGTTATAAGCAATCATAAGTTTAGTTACGTTATTTACAACCCTGGGTACTAAGTCCCATGATCCTTTAAGTACGGGCCTTAATAATTAGAATGGGATCCTGGTTCCCTTATGCCTTAGTTACAATAAGGAACCACCGAAATAGTATTGGTGGCTCCTATGTTATGGTAATTAGAGCTTTGTAAGGCTACAAGTACCTTATTTCGGGACATATGTTATAAGTCATGATAAGCATAGAAACCTGAATCACAGAGTTGTAATCCATTTTGTACTCACATCACAAACTCTTGTGGAGTAGCGGAGTGCCTGCAGGTCTCGTTTACCCAATGCTTGCATCGTTTTACAATTCTATACTGTTTAGTTGTGGATTAGGCCCCAAGGCTCACTTGTGTCAGGAGACCATGGCAAGAGGGGTGGAGAAGCAAGCTGTTCCAGCCCGTTCAAGCTGTTCAAGCAAGTGGGTCGAATTATCGGCCTGCCGAGGTATCTGTTTACATGGGAAAGTTCGCTGGAAGGGATGGGTCTTTCTACCAGGGCCCTGACACCAGCAACTCACAAACAAGATCCACATGACTGGGCCATCCGCCGATGTGCTATAGGGGCTCCTTATTACAATTATAGTATAATGGGCATTAAGTCCCCTGTATTATATGAGAATGGGTGGCCATGTCCATACACATGAAAGTACAGACCAGCGATTCGTGCGCATAAGAGAGTCTCCGAAAACAAGGTCCACCGCTCGGTCCTGCACTTTCAAAACCCTCACAAGTCATACCTCAATATGATACCTTCCCTGAGGTCCTTGAAGAGTCTGAGTACCATGCTCCACTGAGACCACTCTTCGCAGGCTCCAATCGCAGCCCCCAGGGTCAATGTACCGGGAACCTGCATAGCGCCCGTTGGATCTACTTGGAGGATCAGGGGACTTAGCTTTCCATGTTATGCGTAACCTAATTGTGGTTGTAAGAAATTATCAGTACAGTTGCCTTACTTATGACCCAAGTTACTAAGCCCCTTGATCCTTTAAGTAGCGAACACAGCAATGAGAAGTATGCTTCACCAGCAAGACAATAAAGTTGGGCAGTGAGGATATCAAACGACAAGAAGACCAAAATGAGCCTGCACGTTGCTGGAGTATGTCTTCGGAATCATGCACCAGCAATAAATAAGGCAATCATGCCAACAATAACAATTAATGTCAGTATTTTTAGGAGTAATAGCATTGACGTCCGCGATCAGTCTTTTGACGATCATGTCTATAGAGGCCTTAATCATGAGAATAGGGCTTTGGGGCCATTATACTGTACTTATAATAAGGAACCTCCAAAATAGTATAGGTAATCATTACTTAAAGGATCTTGGGACTTAGTAACAAGGGTTATAAATAAGGTATCTATACATATAAGTGCTTATAACCCCAATTAGGGTACTTATAACCTTACTTACCAAGTCCCCTGATCCTCCAAGTATTATGGTACCAGTATAGATCCCTTATAGTAGCCCTTAGAGACCCCTTTATAATCATTAAGGCTCCCATACTATAGTACCCTTATAGATCCTTTATAGTAACCCTTACAGACCCTTTTAAAAGAACCCTACTCAGCCCTCTGAATCATTGGGTAAGGACCCCCCAAAATAGAATAGGTAATCATTAAGGCTCCTATATTGTGGTACCATTAATCATTATAGATCCCTTATAGTAACCCTTATAGACCCCTCTAAAGGAAGCCTAGGAACCCTGTAGGTAATCATTACTTGAAGGCTCATGGGACTTAGTAAGTAAGGTTATAAGTAGGATATAATTAGGATAACCCCACTTAGGGGACTTATACCCCCAATTATAACCTACTTACTAAGTCCCATGATCCTCTAAGTAGGGCCCTATCAACCCTAGCAAGTATAGTATAACCCTTATAGGAACCCTTATAGTTACCCTTAAGGGAACCCTATTCCCTACTAGGCCTTGGGATTTTCGGGTCCCATGATCCTCTAAGTAAGGCTCCGATATTTCGAGCCCTTGTCCGATCTTGCCAAGCTACGAGGGAGCCGGCTGCCATCTCGTACATCAGGCCTCTACAAAGGCTCATGGGACTTAGTAACTCGGGTTATAAAGAAGGTACCTGTACTTATGCTTATACTTATAACCCCAGCCTCTTGACTGAGGTTGTGCGGGTATGGTGTTTTAGGGTTTACGGTTTTAGGGGTTGAGGGTTTAGGGATTAGGGTTGATGGTTTGAGGGCCTTTAGCGGATACGGAATGACCCAAACCCTCGGGAGGATTCAAAAAGTAGATCCACTAATTCGGGACCCTATACTACTAAGGGTACTTTATAGCAACCCCCCATTAAGGGATCTACTTTTTGGATGCTCCCAGGGGTTTGGGTGAGGTTGTGCAGGTATGGTTCGAGCTCACGGTTTAGGGATTAGGGTTGATGGTTTGAGGGGGGGTTAAGGCTTACGTGTTTTGAAGGTTTAGGGATACAAGGACGGTTTAGGGATCAAGGTTAATTTCAAGGTTACTAACTTTCTTGGATTTACTGTACATAGTGGCTCGCAGCTGTGCTTGCACTTTTTGGGGCCCACTCCGGCCTGCAGACAGCTGCCATTGCCCTTGACTGGCAGCGATGGCAGTGTTGAGCACAACTCTGTTGTGCCGCAGAGATAATGCAGTCGAGCGCTTCCTGAGAGCACAGCCGACGTAGCCGATCGCTCAACCCTAAACCCTAGACCCTGCATGGACTGCCAGTGACAGCTGGGTCGCAGCAGGTCCATGGCGCAACACCACTCTCCAGAAGCTTGGCATCCGTTCATTGCAGCCCCTGGCACTCGAGCTAACTGGCCTGTTGTGCCCGAACTTGATTTAAGTTCCCATAATCTTCGCCAGGGAGCCTTGTTATGGTAACTTAACCTAAATTCCTTAACAAGGCTATCATGCTGGAGCCACGGATGATTCGACAAGCACGGTCTTGCTGGCGAGGCGCCGATCGTCACGATGTCTCCTCTATACTGAACTTAGAACCCTAGCGAAAATTAAAATTTTAGCTGTTTCTTAGGGATTATAATAACCAAAAATTAAAAATATTTCTAAGTACCCCTAAGTCCTGAGATGGACCGCAAAGCCACGGACTGAGACAGGCCGAGGGCTGCGTCCCACCGCCCGGACTTCTCGCAAGCGCTGATGGCGGCCTTCAGGTGGCTGGAAGTGGACATGTCAGGGTTTGTGGGACATCTCCGGAACCTTCAGGTTTAGCATAGAGGGTTTAGGGGATTAGGGTTCAGGGGATTAAGGTTTAGGGGATTAAGGTTTAGGACATTAGGGTTTAGGGGATTAGGGTTTAGGGGATTATGGTTAAGGAGATTAGGGCTTAGGAGTCTAGGGTTGAGTTAGGCACGGCAGACGGCAGGCAAGAGGCATTGAAAGAGACCAGGCTCTGTTGAGTTCGAGAGGATCGGAGCCGACCGAGCAGATCCACAGCCGGCCGCCAGTATGATGCCTTCCTGGGTTCTTGTTAAGGAATTTAATTCAAATTACTATAAGAGGGATCTTCAGGTAATAGTGTCTTTCTCTCTATTCTGGCAACTTGACTTAAGTTCGTTAACAAGAACCCAGCTTCTCACCAGCGCTTACGACGGAATTGAAGGAGATGATGTCCAGCATCGTCCATGACTGACCGGCATTCCTCAACTCCAATATCGAATCGTAACCCGATTCTAGTAACCCCCGAAAAGAATCCTCAGCTTACAAAACACCACCCAAAAAACGCCCAAAATTTATGCTAACAAGTTGGCTCCTAAACCCTAAAGGCTGGCAGTGAGAGTTTGAAAATGGATGCCATCCACTTGGTTTGGAGAAGAACTGCCTCAGGCTAGAAAAAGCCCAAGCAGCTGCAGACACGTCAAAGCCGCTACCCACTGCCCTGTCTCCTCATACGAGGAGGCCATCGCATTGTAAATCACAGAATTCGGCTGAACCTCAAGAGTCGATGCAATCCTAAACCCCTAAACCCATGAACACCGGAACAGCGGACATCTCGAGCGGATCAACCGAGTAGAGCGCCCTTCGACTTTGCATACCACCGAAAATTGCAAGTGCCTCCTTCCAGACAACACATGCGCTGATCAGCGATCCGGCGATGATCACATTCACTGAAATCGCAGCTAAATCCAAATTCCCAAGAAGCAACAAGGCCGAAGACCACTCTTGCGCCTGCTGACACGCGTTGATGACACTTCCATAGTTGACCACATCCTGAAGAATCACTCGCTTCTTCATCTCAGCTACCAGTTCCACGGAAAGCTTCCATCTCTGTCCCATTGCGATCTCTGCAGTGCTGTACGTGATGGAATCCGGAGAGGTCCCAACTCTCTCCATCCACCCAATCAGACAGCAGGCGGCTTCCCATGCCAGTGCTCTGCCAGAAGACTTCAGTGCAATGCTGAAGCTGCGCTGATCATGCTGCACACCGGCTTTCAACACAGACAGTACTGATACTGCCAGCTCCCAGTCGCTGGTGTCCACGCTCTCCCGCAGCAAAGCTATCTCTTTCACGTGGGGCCTCTCCAGTCTTCTCGCACATGCCATGCACAGCATCTTGCGATACGGCTAGCCTCAAATTCACCACATCCTTCGAGCATCTTCGAGCCAATGCTGCAGGCTGGCAGGCCACACTTCTGAAAGACCCTACCCATCTCGAAATGCTAGATCTCTGTCTCAACACCTGGGGCTTTGGTAGAAGATGCTACCTGGCAGACTAGGCAGACAGACGTGGGTCTGTCGTAAAACCACTACAGCTGCTGGACGACCACGCAGATCGGAGTCCCAAGGGCGTGGGCATAGGGTACTTACAGGTCCTTAAAGGAATCTATAGGGGGTTCCTTAAAGGGATCTATAGGGTTTAGGGTTTAGGGTCTACTTAAAGGATCATGGGACTTAGTAACTAGGGTTATAATTAAGGTAACTATACTTATAACCCCAATTAGGGGTCCCCTGATCCTCCAAGTATGCTTCGTGTCGGGGACTCTAGTTTGGCCCGCCGTAACTTTGTCGGCAAGCCACTTAGTTTTGGCTTGATGTGCAAAGGTGTCGAACGTCAGGCTTCTCATTTAAAACTGACAATGAAAAGTGCGCCATTTGCATAGGCGCTGGTCTACGAAACGGCTCCGGCATTCACCAGAGGGTCTCACATCTCACAGGGCTTGCAGATGCTTACTCGAAGTATCGGAACTTGGCGAAGATTAGCACTATTTTGCCTCAGATGGCCAAGTGGAGCAGCTGCCACCAGAAAGCCCCTCTTAATGCTCATCCAAGATACCAGTCGCTCGTCCAAGTTGTTCTCTTTCCTGCACAGGCATGCAAAGTACAAAGAAATCCAGGGGCCGAGCCTTCCTTTGGGTTTAAGGTTTAGGGTTTAGGGCCAGAAGAATCCGGCTCCCCAGCCTAAGGATATGCACAGCGGCACGTCTTTTGACTTCGCAACTGCCATTAGGCCGGCCTCGCGTATGGTTGCCATCATACCGTTGATGGATATGAGTCTGTCGTAGATGCAAACCATGGAATCGGAGGCACAGCTCTGGTTCCATTCCTGGTCTAAGACTAAGACTCAAGCTAATAATGACCATAAGAACTAGTAGTAATCACAAACAGCTTGAAGCAGCAGAAGTTTACAAAAAAAACAACAAAACACGCTTACACAATGCGAGCCTTAGGCCAAAAGCACCGCCAGCTAACACCATACAACAACATGGCGAAGCCAAGCTGGAAAACAACATGAGACGCTAAGCTGCAATGGCAGGCGTTAACAGTCTTGTAGCGCAATGTGGGGGTGGCAGTGTTGAGCTGCAGGTACAGATGTTTGATAAAACCAGATGAAACTGAGACACAAGTGGGAGTTTCCGAAAATAGGGGACCCTAATATAGTACCTTAAATAGTAGGATCCTTATTATAGGGACCCCATATAAGGTACCCCTAATTCTCGAAACTCCCAAGTAAGATTGTCCAGGAAGGATGGTGACGCGGATAGACGGATAGACAACCAGTTAGATACTGATATATTATGGTACCATTAATGATTATAGATCCCTTATAGTAACCCTTTTTGACCCCTCTAAAGGAAGCCTAGGAACCCTGTAGGTAATCATTTACTATACTGAACTTAGAACCCTAGCAAAAGTTATAAATTTTAGCTGTTTCTTAGGGATTATAATAACCAAACATTAAAAAGTATTTCTAAGTACCCCTAAGGTTAGATAGACAGGCAGTTAGAGAGACAATTGGATACCTAGACAGATCGACATGCAAACAAACACACACATACATAGACAGATTTTATACGAAAGTGTACAGGTGGATAGGTAGGCACAGTAGGTAGATAGATAGGTAGGTAGATAGATGGATAGGTAGAAGGAGACATAGTTAGTTGAAGGACCCCAGACGCATGTACGACCTTGCGGCACAATGGTGAGGAAGTTATGATGACGACGGATGTCTCATGTCACATTCGGTACCAAGCAAACACCACCTCATAGGGACCCTTAGGGGGGAGGGGGGTAGGGGACCATACTTCCTTAAATAGGCCTTATGAAGTCCTTACTAAATGCCCCCTTACCCCCCTAAGTTTCCCTGTGACTGCACCCACTACTACCACTACTACTCCTACTACTCCTACAACAACAACTACAACCACCACTACCACTACTGCGACTACTGCTACTACTACCACTACTGCTACTACTTACACCCTCCCACAGACCAAGTCTCATGGATCAGACTGTGCCGTCGAACTTTCAGGACTCGGCACTTCCGGTCAGAGAAAGAAAGCCTGGGGTTGTTAAGGAACTTCGCTTGGGGTTAAGTTTAGGGCTTAGGGGTTTAGGGTTGTGTAGGAACTTAGTCTTCATACAGACCCTTAGGGGGTTAGGGGAGGGGGGTAGGGGACTTTACTTCCTTGAATAAGCCTCATTAGGAACTTCGTTTACTTGCAGTAACAACTAAACCATACCATTCACAATAAGTCCTATACCATGGTACCTTAAAACTCCTAAACCCGGAATACGGTAGTAGCCCTTATGGAGCTATTCAGGAACTTAAAAGGAATCCCCTAAGCCCCAAACCCTATGGTGATGCAGGGCCCTCATCATCAAAATCCTAATAGTATAATGTACTCCCAAACCCTATTCCAATCTTTGAAGCGCCTACATTAAGTTAAAAATCCTAAACCCAAACCCTAAATCCTAAACCCTGATCCCAAAATCCAAACCCTCACCCCCTCACCCTAAACCCTAAACCCCTAAACCCTAAACCCTAAACCCCTAAACCCCTAAACCCCTAAACCCTAAAACCCCTAAACCCTAACCCCTAAACCCTAAGCCCAGAAGCTCCAAGCCCAAATCCTCGTCCTTGCGCTGGATGGTGACCACGTATGGGGCAGCTTCCTGCTTGCGCACACGGTTTTGCCTTCTCGGGCTTAGGATTTAAGGCTTAGAATTTAGGGGTTTGGGTTTAGGATTTGGGGATTAGGGTTTGGGTAGCATTACGCCAGTTGCAGCCATGATTGCGATTATTATTGCCATTCTGGCTGTTTTTGCTATAGCGGGCGTGCTAGATTCCATGGTTGCATTCTACTGAAATCTAGCGCCCTACAATCTCCGACTCTTGTACGGCAACCTTTTTGGTGAAAGGGAAGTAGGCACAGGCTGGACATCTGAGCTGCTCACACCGTTGAGCAGACACAAAGACCCTGCAAGCAACACTACTGCGGTCTGTCGCTTCGTTACATACCCCTGCTCTCTAATACATCTGCTCACAAGGACGCCTTGAAGCCCTTCTTGGCCATCTGTCAACCTCCCTGCAGTTGCCGTAAACCCTGACTATACCGAACTTAGAACCCTAGCAAAAATTACAATTTTAGCTGTTTCTTAGGGATTATAATAACCAAAAACTAAAAAGATATTTCTAAGTACCCCTAAGCTGAAACCTGACCCCAAAGAAGCCGGAACTGAACCCTTTGACAACCCCACTTCTCTCTGCTGTGAAGGCTGAGACCCGGCCTCGCATCCTTCCGCTTGCTATAGTCTGTTCTTTCCTATTCTGTTATGTTGCCTCATGCCAGGCTGCGTTATCTTTTACCATGTTTTGGTATACTGTATCGTCCTGTCAGTTGCAGTCCATATTTATATATATACATATATGCATACGCACAAACTGTTAATAATAACTGTTACATAACATACTGTGAGCTAACCTATGGCTGCACCATGCCAAAAACCGGGAATGCTCTTTTGAACCTCCTTGCACATGCTTGCAGCTTTAGCAGAACCTTCGCACCTCTTGGGACAACCCCTAAGGCCCAAAAACCCAAAACCCCCAAAAGGCCCCAAGCCAAAAAGCCCTAAACCCCCAACCCCAAAGCCCTGGAGGCTCCAAAAGCCCTAAATCCCCAAAAGCCCTAAACCCTACTCAGAGGGGCAGGGAACTTAGTAAGTAGGTTATAAGTAGAGTCAGAAGTATCCTAAATGGGGTTACCCCAATTATAACCCTACTTATAACCTACTTGCTAAGTCCCCTGCCCCTCCAAGTAGACCCTAAACCCAAAACCACATAGATCCCTTTCAGGAAGCCTATAGATCCCTTTAAGGAGCCCTTTGAAACCCCGTAAATAAGCTTGAAGGCCCGGTCCTCTCCAAGGACAGCGCCGGAACCCCCGAACTCTGCCGGGAACTCCTTGAACTTCGCCATGCCGTCCCTGACGGACCTCGTTTCTGTAGTAACCCTTGTAGACCCCTCTAAAGGAAGCCTAAGAACCTTGTAGGTAATCATTAACTATACTGAACTTAGAACCCTAGCAAACATTATAAATTTTAGCTGTTTCTTAGGGATTGCAATCACCAAAAATTAAAAAGATATTTCTAAGTACCCCTAAGGTTTGTAGACACGCCACCAGCCGTTTTGTTGATATATATATATATATATATAACACCTAACATATACGCATATATACACACACACACACACTTTTATAACACATCAGAGTTTTGTACATCTAATGTATAATACAGGTCAGAAAACTTGTAATATGTCTTCATGCAAGCCCCCGATCAGGGACCCCCGTCTCTGCAGGCGAGGCACAGCACTCGCTGTCCATAGTTCCAATGCCCTTGAAGTCGGGGGGGGGAGTTCAAGATACCACCGCAGATTTGCAAGAGGCCAGGTGTTTTTGCGCAATGGGTGGAAGCGATGCAGGCCAAGCACTTGGCACAGTTTCTGTGGCCATCGCTTGTTGTCTTCAAGTCCCCGGCTATCTGCACCAAAGCTTCGTCGAAGATCACGGCAAAGTGGCCGCTGCTTCCGGTCCATTTTTGGCACTCCAAGCAGTGGCAGAAAGCAGTCATTTTCGGCTCTCCGGAGACTGCTACGATTACCGAGCCACAGAGGCACTTCCCATGGAACGCCTGCGTGACGTCCGGATGTAAATCCCAGGATTCGGCCCGTACGCCCGAGCCCCCGAGGGAAGCTGGGAAGTCGACGAACTTCGGCACCTGGGAGGTTTCGGTTCGGGGTACCTTTAAAGGGATCCTTTGAGGGATCTATAAGAGTTATAGAGGGTTTAGGGCTTAGGGTTTCCGAGAAGTCCGGGGGTACCTTATGTCGGGGTCCTTATAATATGGACCCTACTATTAGGGTCCCCTATTTTCGGATACTCCCACCTCGTCCCCGAAGTCTATGAGAGGGGTCACATAGAAGAAGTGTGCGTTCAGAGATATTTCGGCCGCAGATCCCACGCAAACCTCAACCAAACCCGCTCGTGGGAGGCTGGTCAGGATGTGCGAATGGCACTTGGCGCAGCTCTTCCGCACCCTCAGAGATAAGAGTCATAAAAGGTTTCTATAGGGGCTATTATGTGTGGGGTTATGAGGGCTTTTATAACACAAGAGCTCTCAGAGACCAACTCTTCACCAAGCGCCGAACCCTCTTGCGCTGAAAAGCACAGCATCTTGCGTTATCTTATCACTAGCAGGCGTTCTGTAACAGCGGATAAAAACTGATGGTCAAGCGCAATAAACGATACTATAGTATAGTGCAGTATATAGCCCTAACCCTCAACCCTAAACCCTAAACCCTAAACCCCCAAAACCGAAACCCCAAAAAACTCTTAACCCCAAACCCAAAAAGAATCGGTGGCCAGGCCTGGATCCAGCTTTGAACTCAAGCAGCTGCCCACTGCAAAGCACATCTTCTCGCCGGTACCAGATCGCCATCTGCCCAACACTTCCCGTCCACTTGCGGCAGTCCTTCAGGGGTTTAGGGGTTAGGGAGGTTTAGAGTTTGGGATGAGATCGGAATCCATGCGCACGAGATCGGAATTCATGCCAGAAGCTGGAAACCAATATAGGGGCCTTCATAATGAGAATAGAGTTCTGGGGCCCACTACACAAAAATTATCATAAGGAACCATCAAAATAGTACTGGTAATTATCTCAGCCCCTATGTTACACTGCCCCAGTAGGCTAGTAAGGACCCCCCAGAATAGTATAGGTAATCATTAAGAATCCTATATTTTTTAACTCTATTAAGCACTGGGCTCAAGATCCTCGCAGTGGCACAGTGTGGTTTTGAGCGGGGCGCTAAGGGCCGTCACCGAGACGAGCCCGCAAACACAGGACCATCCTTCCAGGGTTTAGGGGTTTACGGGTTTAGGGTTTAGGGGTTTCGGGGTTTAGGGTTTAGGGGTCAAGGGTTTTAGGGGTTTAGGGTTTGGGGTTTCGGGTCGAGGGGTTTATGGTTTAGGGGTTTAGCGGTTTAGGGTTTAGGGGTTAAGGGGTTTAGGGTTCGGGGACGATCAGCGAAAACACCGAAGCAGCAAGTGAATGAATGGTAACCATACTGGATAAAACCATATCAATAGCGTCAATATTGTAATTGTACTCTATATTGCTGTTAATGTTAAAATTCGTACTGTTATGACTGTGATAGTTATTAATACTATTGTGAACCATAGTAAAGCGCGGCCCGGTCGACTTTTGTTCTAATCAAGATCCGCACGCCAATGTGTTGATTGGTCTGCTACCGCAATAGCGGAATCGCTCGAACAACAATTGCGTTGCTTCTGTCATGACGAAGGCGAAGAGTAACATAATGACCATGACGATGTTCAGGAGGAGGAGCAGGAGGCGGAGGGTGATGATGAAATAGGGATGATGATGACGACGACGATGACGATGGTGACGATGAATATGATGCTGGTGCTGCAGCTGATGATGATGATGACGATGATCGCGACAGCGCTGGTCAAGCTCATGATGGTGATGATCGCGATGATGTTGCCGATTATTAGAAGTCTCCTCTCGTTCCCTCACGAGGGGTCTGCACATGGTCAGTCGCGCAGGAGCAGAAGAGCATGGCATGCTTCGCAGGGCTGCGTGTCGAAAGGCAGCAGTGACTAAGGCTGCAACCGCTTAGGAAGACAAAAGTTTGCCACTGCTGTGCAGATCTAAAATGTGCTGCTTGCCATGCTGGCAAGTCCTTCTTGTCTCTTGTGTGACATCTGCATGCAAGTTCGTTGCTGACTCATGGCTAGTTTCGACTTCGAGGCATCTTGTACTGCTCAAGGGCCGAAATGCCTCCGGTGACTTGGATCTCAAGTTCTGGGTCCAACGGACACGCGAGAATCGGAAGTGTCCCAGACGCACACACGCAGCCCTTTGTTCATGAGTGCAAGCAGTTGCAGAATCGATTGTGCCTTGAGCCATCTTGCTATCTTTGAGAAGGGCAGGCATCCCGCTCCTCGAAGCGAACCCAGAGACTCCAATATCCGTTAATCAAGGAATACTCCTTAGATCACATGAGGGACCCTACTATAATTTAAGGTATGTTCCTTAATTAAGGGGTTTGAGAGTCTCTGGGAAAGGTAATTTCTGCGAAGTGAAACTTGACGAAGTTCGTTAACAAAGACACAGCCTAAACTTGGCTGGCCAGAGGGGAACAAGTCCGCTTAAAGGATCATGGGACTTAGTAACTAAGGTTATAATTAAGGTAACTATACATATAACTACTTATAACCCCAATTAGGGGACTTATAACCTTACTTACTAAGTCCCCTGATCCTCTAAGCGGGCCAAGCCAGGAGATGCGAGCAGACCTGCAAATGACCTGGAAGGCCACACGACTGGAAAACTGCAACAGGAAGAAGCCCTAAACCGTAAACCCGAAATCGTTTTAGGGTTTAGGGTTTAGGAGTTTAGGGTTTAGGGTTTTAGGGTTTAGGGTTTAGGGCCCTAAACCGTAAACCCGAAATCGTGCCTATGTACATCCAAGTTTGGGGGCCCTCATGGGTACAGATGGGCGTCCACGAAGCCTGAGTCCAAAAGCTCCGTGGCGTTTTTCGTTGACAAAGTGCAAGCGATATGCCGACAACGCAACCGTGGCACACGGCACAACTCTGTCCAAGATCGGTGTCAGCGAGTCACCCTTAAACCCTAAACCTGGACCGAGATAGAAACTATTATGCTATAACTTTGGTAGGGAACACCCAAAACCCTTTTCTAATTAAAACTAAGATCGCGGCGGAGGGCAGCAAGTGTTTTCAAGATTTCGGCTTCCTCTCGACCAGGTCGACGCCTCAAAGACAGGCATCTCGAACAAGTTTAACAAACGTAATCGTAATCGTAATGGTCATCCGTCACCATAAACATGAGACTACTCGAAGACTACTCGCTATATTAAGACTAATGATACAAGAACAGCAATATTTACAATAACAACAACAGTGATAGTAATGATGAAAAACAATTAGCACCAATGATTCATCACAATTGCCAAGAGCCCTAAACCGTAAACCGGAATTTAAAGAACTACTGATATAGCAGCAAGAACTGTCTGGTGCTCAGTAGGGAATGGGGGAATGGATCCCCATAGTCCCTCTTTCATCCCCAATAATAGTCCCAATATCCAATTCCCCATTCCCTACTAAGAACCAGATAGAAAAGAGTGGCCAGTGAACCCAAAATCCTATTCCAACTATTGTAGATCCCTTCCTTATGTTAGCCCCTTATAGATCCCTGAAAGTAGCCCCTTATGGATCCCTTATAGTGACCCCTTATACATCCCTTGTAGTAACCTTATAGATCTTTATAGTAGCCCTTATAGATTCCTTATAGTAACCCTTATGGATCCCTTATAGTAGCCCTTTTAGACCCCTTTAAACCCTTCACTTCGGCCCGAAAGGCGGCTCGGGCTCTGCGAACTTCGGCCGCAAGTCCTGAATCGCCCCCCCCACTCTCGACCCTTTCGACACGCTCCCAGACTGCATATATACATGTATAATTATATATGTACATATACATGTACATACATATATATATATATATATGGGCGCACCCCTATTTGGGGTCCCCTACGTTTTTCGCTACATCATCTGACTGAGCTATAACCACCAGACTAGGTTATAACCAGCCGATTAGGTTATAACCAGCCGACTAGGTTATAACCATTCGAATAATTTATAATCAGGTATACATTATCGATATTTCAGTTTTTTCCAACAAGCGTGCTGTAGTCATTAGTCTGGTTCAGTCATTCCTTATCGCGAACTAAATTTTGGAACGAAAAGTTTTCCATCTTTGTACTGTAATGCCGCAATCCCATCAAAGTCTCTGTTGTTGGGCGCATTGCTATGACGTTTTGGCAAACTGATAGCTTTCAATGACATATCCCTGTGCCCCTATGTGATTGCTTGTAGACACTGGTATATCCGGTAGGTATATTTGAGTGGTGCATTCCTTATTTCTGTATGACGGCTGCCCCAAGCCAAAATTGAAAACTTGCACACTACAAGCTTGGCAAACTTTGTACAGTGTTTTTCCTGGGGGACGACATGAAGCGTCGCTTCTTAGGCTTGGCACTGTTTCTATATGCTCAGTGATGAGGCCTGTGCTTTTTGTATCAGCATACCTTAACCATCACGTAAAGCTCACTGAAAACCATAAAGCTACATCTAGCTTGTCCGAATTTCTGTTTGTGTTCTTGTGAATATTTTCTGAAGGTCGAACAGAAGCCATTGTTCCCAATCCAGAACCTGCTCCTCGTTTTAGAAAAAGTGGTAAACACACACCGAATCACTCCTCGAAAGAGGTACATCCATGTAGTTGGAAATAGCATTGCAAGGAATTTTCTACGTACCGAGCGAGGAAACCTAACAGTTTGCAAGTTGCAAATCGCTCACCACACATATTCTTATCAGTTTTGTCTCATCGAAATCCTGCTTCCTTGGAACGATGTTTGAACATAACGTTGCAACCAGTTCGCCTATGTACGAAGTGATGAAACCTGACCACGCTGTAAGCTTTGATATACTATCTCTCCCTACAATGACGTCGTATCAATCGTATCTCAACTTTTTTGTGTACCGTGATATTCCAATGTTGACAACACTTACTGACCTACTGTAATCCCGATAGAGACCCTTCATCTTCCGCATTTTGATTCCTGGGTCAGTGACATGTTAGCGGCTATTCTCTCAATGTGTACATAGATCTCATAAGCCCGATGTACTGGAACGGACAGACCATTATGTAAAGTCCGCCATATAGCCTTTCCGGTAAAGTTGGGGAATGCGCATATGGTCCCCGGAATTATGTTTGTTACAAAGCACTGCATCATGCCTCAACAACCGAATACATGCCAATTACCTCGGACCTTCTTCTAGTCCTTGTTTAGTTTCATTGCGGTTACATTTCCCCTGAAACACCGAAACTTTCGAACGTTTGGATCTAGGTCTAGGTGTTGATGAAGTAGCGGTGGCACAGATTTGCTTCGTAAGGTTTATATTGTGCAACAAACAATCAAGGCACCCCAATTTACAAACCACAACCCTGGTATGTAAGCCCCCCGGTGTTTCGACACAGTTTACCAATATTGCAGGTTCACCATCAAGTGTTGGGTTTGGGTTTTACTGCTTAGGGTTTGGCGCTAGGGTTTGGGGGAGACTTAGACTTAAACCATTATACCGGCTCGCTTGCGCGATACGACACGGAAGACTTAAACCATCAAACCAATAAACCAATCCATTTGATCTATAGGGCACGGCGGGAGTCTTCAAACCCTGAACGTATTTTGCAGCCTGGTTATAACCTCTGTCCCCGGTTATAACCAGGACACCTGCGTAGTAGGCAGCCCTAGACCCATCAATAAACCATTAAACCATTATCCTTTCCCCCAATGGAACCAAACCAATAAACCATTAAACCAATCCTTTTGCCCCATAGCACTAAACCATTAAACCAATCCCTTTACCCCATACCACCAAACCACTAAACCATTAAACCATCAAGCCAATCCTTTCCCCCAATGCACCTAAAACACTAAACCATTAAACCATTAAACCAATCCGTTTGCTCCATACCACTAGACCACTAAACCACTAAACCATTAAACCATTAAACCATTAAACCATTAAACCAATGCTTTCGGCCCATACAGGGATGTGTCTCTCTCTATAGGGGAAAATGATTGGTTTAATGGTTTAATGGTTTAATGGTTTAGGTCCATTGGGGGAAATGAGTGGTTTAATGGTTTAATGGTTTATTGGTTTAATGGTTTATTGGTTTGGGTCCACTGGGGGAAAGGATTGGTTTAATGGTTTAATGGTTTTTTGGTTTAGTGGTATGGAGCAAAAGGAATGGTTTAATGGTTTAATGGTTTAGTGGTTTGGGTGTGCCAAAACCCAGGGGACCCCATATAGGGGGGTACCCATATATATATATATATATATATAAATATATATTTATATATACACGTACGCATACACATGTATGTATATACACAGGTTTGATTTCTTGATGTATCTCTTTCTTGATTTGCTGAAGTATGGCCGTTGTGATATAGCTGCCTACCTACCTATGTATCCCTCTCTTTCTCCATCCATCTATCTAACTATCTACATATATACACGCGACACAGATATCGAGTTTATATATATATATATATATATATATATATAAATATCTACGTATATATTGTAGACAAATGCATATACAATATACATACATGCATATGTCTATGTGTGTTGTGTAATGTACATATTAGGTACGTACGCAGTCCCAGTCCTGTGCCGGTTGGACCATCCTTTGGCTTGGAGCCGCCTGCGAGAAGCAGCCGGTCTGCGTTGGGGTCTGGGCCGGGCGCTCTCTCAAAAGGTAAAGGGAACTCCAGAAAGTTGGAATATGGATTAATGGTAGGATCCCCTATAATTTACCTTAAAGGGGTTACGATAATGATATTCCAACTTTCTGGCTTCTACTGTTGGCTTGAAAGAATGAGAAACAGATTCGCTTAGCTGGTCCTGGAATATTTGCTATATACCATAAGGGGTATTGCGGCGGGGCCTTCATAATACGAGTCCTCTACAGGGTCCTTATATAAGGGTTTCTATACCGGAATTATGGAGGTTGAGTCGGTTGTATATGGCGGCCTGAAGAGTTTCAACAGGATTCCTTTGAGGGGCCTTTTACAAGGGTTGTATACTTTAAGGGTTGTTCAGAGGGGCTTTGTATAAGGGGGGTCCTTAATAAATAGAATAAGACTTTAGGGTATATCGTAGTTTACTTATGCTCAGGAACCCTAGGAAAGCCTCGGTAATCATTGAAGCTTCTGTTGTAAAGGGGGTCCCTCGTTCGAAAGGTTGATGCCCTTGGACATGCCTATTTAAGGCCTTGAAACGCAAGGCCCCCTGATTCCTGGCTTGCAGCTTTGTGCTGACTCCAGTCTCACTGCTCTATAATCTCGAAATAAGACAGTACCAGTGCTCGCGACTGGTGCAGCTACACCCTCATAATACCCCTTTACAGAATATAATCCCTACATAAGGATCTAGTAATGCAGCTAGACTCTCATATTGCCCCCTTGCAGAAAAATAATCCTTATATAAGGACCTAGTGTTGATGGACAAAATCCTGCATTACCCATTATAAGGAATATTCCATAATTCCCATAGTTTAGAGTCCTTAGGGTCATGCGGGTTTTTGTCCATCAGCAGTAGTAATGGTTGGTAAGCCCGGGCCCGGCCCTGTGGCTTCGCCTGCTGCACCTCTTCTGTCTCACGGGCCGCAGCCTCGCGGGAGCCTTCGAAATCGGCTTTCCACCTGGGTGCTTGTCAAACTTAGGGGCCCCGCCTTTGGGTACCCTAAATACTAGGGTGCCGTATTATATTAGGGACCCAAAAAGGGACCACAATTTTTTGATAACCACCCACCTCTCCAGTTCGTGTAACTCACGTTTCAGCTCCTTCAGCTCGGAGGAGGACTTTGGCGCCTGCGAAACAAGGATTCAGGGGTTTAGGGTTTAGGGGGCTTGGGGCGTTAGGGTTCAGGGTTCACGGGTTTGGGGGGTTTAGGGCTTCGGGGTTCAGGACCGCCCTTTGATGGCCTCCTTTCTTGCGCCGCGCTTGAGCTCAGCCACCTCACCAATGCGAACACGTCAGGTCCAGCCATCCCAAACATCAACAAAAACTTACCTGTGGTTAGTAGGGAATGGAGGAATGGGGTAGAATTATAACTGCTATCACTACCATTCTTCCATTCCCTACTAACCCAAAGGTAAGAAAACCACTAAACTGTAAACCCGAAACTCCCCAAGCCCTAAACTCCCCAAACCCCAAAGAAGCAATGCCAAGGACACCTCGGCCTTGAAACGCTCCGCATCAGCGGCTGCTTTCCGCATCGACGAGACCTCTTGCTGCACGGTGCCGAGTTCCTGAAAACAGCAGCTCACTTCTAGCCTACCTGCATCACATAACAATGGCTTCATAGCAATAAGGGGTTAAAGCCCCCTCCCTCTCTTCTCTTTAAAGCTCCCTTAAAGCCTTGTTGCAGCACCCTGATAAGAACCAGCCCCCGTGCGAGCCGGCCTTGACGGACTGCAGGACTTTGGCAATTCCGCCATGCGGCTTCAGCTTACCATGGAGGTCTTGCAACTCGGCTTCCTGCCGGGTGCTGTCTCTTCATAGGCAATAGTAATATGAAGAATAAGAGTGATCAACAGTATATGGTCAGATTCACTGTTCTGCCGTGCCTTGTCAAGCAGAGAAGCTTTATCGCCCAAAGCTGCCTTCATGGAAGCAATCTCCTGCAAAGAACAGGGTTCCGGGTTAAGTAGGGTGACTTGTGCAGATGACTGCTCCGGAACTTCGCAGACCACGGTCCTGGCACTGTGTTTGCAGCTTGCCTGTCCAGAAGTGCACACGGCCCACTGAAGCTCCGATCAGACTGCATGCTGGCTTCATTTCAAAGTACTCTTCAACCACAAGGACCTTCAACTAGGATGCCCAGTAACCTAGGAATAAAAAGGCGGTAACTTTATAAGGAACCTAGGACTACAAAAAGGGAATACGGGTACTACTGGGCATCCTAGTTCAAGGGGGTCAGATAGGGGCGTGAATACTTCTTACCCCCAAGACCCTGTGACTTCCCTCCAACCCTTATACGCGCTATTCAAACTCTTACGACCCCTAAATCAACCCTTAGAGTAACCCTTCTAAAGAACTCAAAGTTCAATAAAGTTCCCTAAACCCCTAAACTCCTAAACTGCTAAACCCTAAACCCCTAAACTCCTAAACCCTTAAACCCCTAAACTCCTAAACCCTTAAACCCCTAAACTCCTAAACCCTTAAACCCCTAAACTCCTAAACCCTTAAACCCCTAAACTCCTAAACCCTTAAACCCCTAAACTCCTGAACCCCTAAACTGCTAAACCCTAAACTCCTAAACCCTTAAACCCCTAAACTCCTAAACCCTTAAACCCCTAAACTCCTAAACTGCTAAACCCTAAACCCCTAAACTCCTAAACCCTTAAACCCCTAAACCCTTAAACCCCTAAACTCCTAAACCCTTAAACCCCTAAACTCCTAAACTCCTAAACCCTAAACCCCTAAACTCCTAAACCCTTAAACCCCTAAACTCCTAAACCCATAATGAGGAGAAGCAGAAGATCCCCCCCAGGCCCCCGGGGCCTTCCAGCTCGCTTTGTCGCCTGCGCTCAGGAAGCTTCCCAGAGAGCCCAATACCCCCCTTTTAGGGTTTAGGGTTTAGGTTTTAGGGTTTAGGGTTTAGGGTTTAGGTAAACCCCCTTAATTGAGCCTTATACTTTAAAATACCCCCCACCCTGAACCCTAAACCCCCTTAATTGAGCATTATACTTTAGAATACCCCTTACCCTAAACCCTAAACCCCTTAATTAAAGTATAATAACATGTAAGGGGCTTCATATTGTGATTCAAGCTATATTCCGTAATGAAGGGGTAGTGGGCTCTCTGGGTTTCAAGCGTCGCCGAGAATTTTTTTTAGTGAGGTTTGGGGAGTAAGAGCTTAAGGCTTAGGGTATCAGGGTTTAGGGTTGTAGGATTTACGGTTTTAGGGTTTAGGAGTTTCGCAGTTTAGGAATTTAGGGTTTACGGTTGTAGGGTTGAGGGGTTGCTGCAGAAACTCGTGGATCGCGGGGAAGCGGCTGCGGGAAATCGGACTTAGAGGCTTTTTTGGTTTAAGGCTTTGCTTCGGCTGAAGAAGTGTGCAGCAGTCTGAAGCATAGGAAGCTAAACTAAAGACGCTGACAACAAGGGTCAGGGTAGTGGTCAAGGTGCATTTGCATTCCATTGACTCGTATGGGCGAATGCAAAGGGCACATTGCTCGAAAGGACTGCACGACCGTTGGACAAGGCAAAACCATGACATGCACATGTTAACATTCCGTCGGCCTGATGCCCTCGCTCAGCATCGCTTGTACTTCTTCGTCGGCCTGCTCGGTTATGCAGGAGCGACATGTGCTGCGAACTACCATTGATATTAAGTCGCCGCCTCAGAATGCCAGCGCAGCAACAGATGGAACTTCGCCAACGCATGACGCGACACCGTGCAACCACTGTGCCGATCTCTTCTCGTGTGATGGCGGCACTATGGCAAGCGACGTCTGGCTGAACTGGAAGTGCGCATAACTTACATAGCACAGTGTTTCACCAGCATGCCACCACCAGCACGATAGCACACCGTCATTTGATCAGCAGAAAACCGACATCTGCTTTAGTTTCGATCGGTGCCAGTCCCAAACTTCTTGGCGCACACCACAAGTCTGGTCCCCGAGCCTCTGCCGCTCCCGCTTTAGGAGCACCTGAACTCGAGAAGTCAGAACTTGAAAGCACGAATATTCTGTCTAGGCCACGAACAGCCAACGAAACGAACACCCAACTCGCGGGCCCCAGCGCAACTCGAAACCCCGAGTCGCGAGCGTGCCGATCTTTGCTCAAAGGATTCGAACTCCTTGCGCAGCCCCCTTACCTCCTGCGAAAATGGGCTGGGAGCAGATGGCTCCATGGGGCAACGAGGGTCCAATGGGATTTTACAGGGTTTTGGAAGAGTTTCGATGCGCAGTTCTCCGGTTGAGGGTCCCTCCACAAAGTACGACACCATAACTAACAAGGTCTAGTATAGGGGCCTTAATACTTAGAATAGAATAGGGTTTCAGGGCCCATTATACTATATTTGTAATCAGGAACTCTCAGAATAGTATAGGTCATTGTCTAAGGCCCCTGTACCTTATTTGGGGGTCCTTACAATAAGGATCCTATTGTATAGCATATTTTCGGAAACTTCCAAATACCACGGCTGCCTCGATAGTAACTATGATACCCAGTAACCTAAGAATAAAAAGGCCTCTCTTTTTGGTATTGGGTAACTTTATAAGGAACCTAGGACTACAAAAAGGGAATAAGGGTACTACTGGGCATCCTAGCCCCTAATTTTCGGAAACCCTAAACCCTTTATAGAACCCTTATAGATCCCTTTAAGGAACCCTTGTAGATCCCTAAGGGTACTACTGGGCATCCTAGTACTATAATCCCTAAACCCTAAGCCCTAAACCCCCTAACCCCCTTAACCCCCTAAACCCCTAAACCCCCAAACCCCCAAACCCCCTAAACCCCTAAACCCTAAACCCTAAACCCCTAAACCCTAAACCCTAAACCCTAAACCCTAAACCCTAAACCCTAAACCCCTAAACCACTAAATCCTAACCCCTAAGCCCTGGAGTCCCTTTAAGGAAGCCTTGTAGATCCCTAAGGGTACTACTGGGCATCCTAGGTACTATAATCCCTAAACCCCAAGCCCTAAACCCCCCAAACCCCTAAACCCCCAAACCCTAAACCCCCTAAACCCTAAACCCTAACAAACCCTAACCCCTAAGCCCTGGAGTGGGGTTCAGAGCTTCACGCGGTCCTCTGCTTCAGCCTTCAACTCGGCCTTGGCGTACACGAGAGCCTCTGCTTTGGCAGTGCACTGCATCTTTAGGGGTTTGGGGTTTAGGGGTTTAGGGTTTAGGGTTTAGGGTTTTAGGGGTTTGGGGGTTTAGGGGTTTAGGGGGTTTAGGGCTTAGGGTTTAGGGATTATAGTACTACCCTACTCTAGGTCCTAGATTATAGGGGCCTGCAGAATTAGAATAGGGTTTTGGGGTTCCTTATTGCTTTTACAGTATGATATACCCCCTAAACCCTATTCTAATCATTAAGGCCCCTATATAGGACTCTCGAAGAACAGCGAATAGAACTTGATGGCCATCGCTGACGCTGATGATGACGGCCGACGACATGAAGTCACCCCCTACACCCTAAACCCCGGAACCCTAAACCCCAAAACCCTAAACCCTAAAGATGCAGAGCAGAAGCCCAGCAAACGATTCTCCTTGCGCTCGGATCTCCGGTCACATAGCACGCAATATAATTAGGGGCCTAAGGGTTTAGGGTTTAGGGTTTTAGGGTTTAGGGTAAATTAGTACCACTAGTATTGTGGGGGTTCCTTAATATGACTCTACCATAATATAACCCCAAAAACCCTATTCTAATTATCAAGGCCCCTGTATTACCACACCGAAACACCAACGAAGAGGAGCGGTGAAGAAACCGATGCAGCCGGAGGAGAACCGAGAGAGCCCAATACCCCTTAATTAAGGAATATACCTTAAGCTATAAGGGGAGTCATGTCATGATTTAAGCTATATTCCTTAATTCAGTGGTATTGGGCTCTCTGGGAACACGCCTCGAGAACGCATGCAAAAGCTGGTTTCAGGCAAGGAGCCTGCTCGGCTTCTGCACCACCTCGTAGCGGACAAGAGGCAGAAACACTCGCGAAGATGCAGCTCTAACGCTTGGCACACTTAGCTTTACCCATAGGCTCCATAGTAGTTCCTTTTTGGGATTACCTTATAGGATCCGAAATCTGAACCCCCAAAAGGAAGTAATTACTATGGAGCCTATGGGGCAGATTCCCCATGGTCAGCCAGAGATTCTTCATCGCTAAACCCCTAAACCCCAAACCCCTAAGCCCCAAACCCCTAGCCACTAAACTCTAAACCCCTAAGAACCCTAAACCATAGGCCCAGCCTTCTTGCGCATACTGCATCTGCTGCAACTCCAGGCGAAGCTCGTTGATCTCTTCCGGGAGCCGATATTGCAGGGCATCCTCTACTTGGAGGATCAGGGGACTTAGTAAGTATGGTTATAAGTACCCTAATAGGGGTTATACGTAGTTATAAGTATTAGTTACCTTATTTCTAACCCTAAATACTAACTCCCCTGATCCTTTAAGTATAAAGCACCAGGGAGTTCTACGGGATGTCTTTATATGGGCATGAAAACCCGAAACATGCTATTGTTGTCATAAGCCATATGGGAATTTCCGAAAATCGGGGTACCTTATTTAGGGGTCCTTATAAGAAGGATCCTACTATTTGGGGTACTTTTTTAGGGCCCCCCCCCTATTTTTCTAAGTGAAAACCCAAGCCCTGAACCCTAATCCCAAACTGCACCCTGAATCCCGTCTCAAACTCGAAGGAGAAAAGGAGGGACCCTTAATGGGGACCCCTACCCATAGGGAAGAGGGTTCCTTTGAAGGGGTCTATAAGGACTACCATAAGGGGCTATATTGAGGGTTTAGGGTTTAGGATATAATGGGCTATATAATGGGTATATAATAGCTCTATTAAGGGTATATACCTAGGGGTCCTTGTTGAGGGTCCCTCCTTTTCCCCTTTGGACAAACGAAAGAGAAGGCTCCTGGCCCATAGGCCACTGAAAATGGCCGGAGAGCTCATCTGCCAAGCTGGCATTACCAGTACCTGGAATCATAAGGACCGGGGGGTACTTGGAGGATCAGGGGACTTAGTAAGTAAGGTTATAAGTCCCCTACCTGCGGTTCATAAGTATTTATAAGTATAGTTACCTTATTTCTAACCCTAGTTACTAAGTCCCATGATCCTTTAAGTAGGGGTTGAGGGGGGTAGGGGGCCTTCAACTTCGGGGCCTATAATGAGGACTTAACAAGGCCCATTTGAGGAAGTATAGTCCCGTACCCCCCTCCCCCTTACCCTCCTAAGGGTGATGGAAAGACGAGAGGACATCGGCGGGGATCCCAGACTGACACTGGAACCTTACGATCTAAACCCCTAAACCCTCAAACCCTAACCCCTAAACCCGTAAAACCCCCTAACCCTAAACCCCTAAACTCTGAACCCTAAACGGGGTTTCGGACCTGTGTCGAAGTCGAAAGGGGAAGGTTCGCCATCATCGCTTCGAGCGCTGAGGATGCCTCAGATGAACTGCCATGTGGAAACAAGAAATCGGTTGTTCGGTGTTGTTTATTTGTTACCAATACTATAATGACGAGTCTAACGACAGTTCTTATGACAAGTATTGTTCTTGTTACTTACTATGATTGCTAGTAAGACACTCACACTCGAGCCGCCGGGCAAACAAGAGCTCTTTTTGGATAGCTTCCAAAGCTGCACCTAGACAACTGGGCTGCCGTTTGCAAGACTACCAACAGCACTACTGCTTCCAGCAAATGCGACTACTGCACCGAACGAGCGGAGTGCAGTAGGCCATACAAGCCTGAAGAGCTCAATGTGCAGAACATAGTATGAATGTCCTTCCAGCCGCCGAACTTACAATCACAATACTATTCCCTGATACCCAGACGTCCTAATCTCGCTTGTGTCGAATATCTTCCGAAACCCTCTTCTAATCATCAATCAGCCACCTGCACCTAAGAAAGTTGAGCCTAAAAGATCCAGGGGTTGGTTTAGGGTTTAGGGGTTTAGCGTTACGTACTGCCATGCCAAGCGACTGTTGAGCCTCTCTCCCCCAGGGGAGGGCGGAGCGAGGCCAGGAGAGCCTCGGAAATTCGTCGCCAGCAGCTGAAAGCGCGCGGCCTCCAATCAGGGAACTTAGCAAGGGCTCTATAAGCGCTTCTTCGAGGATTGCAAAAAGAACCGTTTAAGGAGGCCTTTAAAGTAGTCCCATGATCCTTTAAGCAGACCCTAAACCCTGAACCCCATGGATCCCTTTAAGGAACCCCTGTAGATCTCTTCAAGGAACCCTAGTTACTAAGTGCCATGGTCCTTTAAGTAGACCCTACACCCTAAACCCCATAGATCCCTTTAAGGAACCCCTATAGATCTCTTCAAGGAACCCTAGTTACCAAGGCCATGATCCCACAAGTAGACCTCTACCCGACCCGCGCGAGCCTTAAGAAATCTTCAGGGCTCCTTTAAGCTCTAACCCCCTTAGAACCATAATAAACCAAACATAGAGATGTTTTCTTGGGTTTTATATGAACAAAAAATCCAAAAAAACTAATTCCTAAGAAGACTCTAGTATTAACAAAAATTCCTAAGGATACTATAGTTTAAGGGTTCCTTTAAGAGTGCAGAGCCGTGGACGCAACCCTCTGGAGCCTCCAGGTCTTTCCTCAAGCGCTTCAGGTCCTTCCAAAGGCTGCGAGAGCGGAGTTTTCTCGGTTTAGGGTTTAGGGTTGCAGGATTTAGGGTTTAGGGTCTTAGGTTTAGGGTTCCAGGGTTTAGGGTTTTGGTGTTTCAGGGTTTAAGGTTTAGGGTTTAAGGCAGGGTTAAAGATTTCAGGTTTAAGGTCTAGGGTTCAAGGTGTAGGGTCAAGGATTTAAGGTCTAGGGTGGGTGTAGGGTTCTTTTTTTTTTTTTTTGAACTAGGGTGTAGGGTTCAGGATTTACGGCTTTCTATTTTTATAGGCCCTTTTCCGTCTGCACTTGCGTCCGAAACCCCAAAGTCGAGGGTTTAGGATTTAAGGTTTAAGGTTCAGGGTTTAGGGTTTAGGGTTTAGGGTTTAGGGTTTAGGGTTTAGGGTTTAGGGGTTTAGGGGTTTAGGGTTTAGGGTTTAGGGTTTAGGGTTTAGGGTTTAGGGTTTAGGGTTTAGGGGTTTAGGGTTTAGGGTTTAGGGTTTAGGGTTTAGGGTTTGGTTTCAAGAGCGCAGGAACCGAAACCACCAGAGACCTGCCTGCTCGTGCGAGCGCTGTGCATCTTGGAACTCGTCCATTCGGCTGGCCCGCTCTTCCTGGCAGTCCGGTACTCGAGTTACATACGTTAACCTTGAAAAACCTACTTTTTTGTAGGTGCTAATTCTAAACCCTACAGTAATATGGCATTCATGGTGACCCTACAGAGAAGTAAGGTAACTATACTTATAATCACTCATAACCCCAATTCAGGGACTTATAACCTTACTTACTAAGTCCCATGATCCTCTAAGTAGTACCCTAAACCCTAAACCCTATAGATCCCTTTTAGGGAACCCCTATAGATCCCTTTAAGGAGCCCTTTAAGAAAGGCTAAAAACAGGGCTGCTAGTCTTGGGCCTGAAGCTCCTGGTAGAACTTCTCCTCCTTGACTGCGGCCTTCAAGACCCATTGAGGACAGGCGGCCCACAAGGATAAAGGGTTCTTCTTACAAAGGGTTTATAAGGGTTACCATAAGGCTTCTATAAGGGCTTAATGTAGGGGCCTTAATTTTGATAGGGTTTTGGGGCCCGCTGTGCTGTAATTAGTATTACAGCACCAGCTCTATGGACCTGCTTGCGGATCTTCTTCACGTCATCTTTCCTTGGTTGGAACTCTTCACTCACTTCCCACGACACATAAAAAAGCAAACTGTTTGGCCCACCAGACCGCACATGTCGGGTGCAGCATACTAACTTGGACTTTGAAGTAACCAGGGGGACAACAGGATAGACCTTTATTTCACAATGGCTCCGTTAAGGAACAGGCACCAAACAAATATTCAAGTATGCTTGCAGGATCAGGGGACTTAGTAAGTAAGGTTATAAGTGCCCTAATTAGGGTTATAGGTAGTTATAAGTATAGTTACCTTATTAGTAACCTAAGTTGCTAAGTCCCATGATCCTTAAGTGGTACTCCAAACCCAGGTAACCCGCTTTCGGGTAAGCAAGCGTCAGAGCCGTGACTTGGAGCTTCTCGGTCTCGACCTCTTGTCTCAACTCCTTAGCCATTTGGGTGGTTGTCAAAATTAGGGTCCCTTTTTGGGTTCCTATTTTTAGACGGCACCTAATATTTAGGGTACCCAATTAGGGACCATAATTTTGACAACCATCTATTTGGTCCAAGAGGAAACGGAATGTCACAAAGGCCCCTCTACGCGCGCCATCGGAAAGCTCTCAGCATCGCTCTGTCGAGAGGTAGAAGGCTCTCAATCTCAATGCAACGATTTCACATAGCGATGGATCGGATGAAAAGGCCCCTGAGCCAATGGAGTTAAGTGCTCGGGATCGACACAACGATTCACTGCATCGCAGGGGGAGTCGAGTGCCTGCTTGCTTACGAGCCCCATTCCTTGCTGAAGTGATGGGAAAATGCACCATGGTCACATGCCATGTAGAACTGATGATCTAGTGATGACACTGATGTCTGAATGTTTCGTCGAATCTACATCAGGCACCGACGAGTGGTCATCCTGATGCAATGCATTATACAGAATTTGCGAGGAGCTTTTTTGGTTGACGAGCATCTGAATCAATTTCGCACGAGCTCTCCACGCCCAAATAAGGCCCTGGCTTCCCTCATCTTCTCCCAGTTGATCTCCCTGGCCTTGTGCTGAACCTTATGGCTCCAACCCAGCTGCAAGAGTCCTGGTGTCTTATATAGGGGCCTTAATAATTAGAATAGGTTTTTGGGGCCCAGCATACTAAAATTAGAATAAGGAGCCTCCAAAATAGTATAGGTAATTATTAAGGCCCCTATAGCACACACCTCCGCATCTTCATGAAAGTGCTGAGGCGAGAGCCTGTAGTCCCACCTTCAGCTGGCCTGCCCCCAGACAGCCCAAAACCAAAAAAACAAAAACAAACAACAAGAATATGCTTGAACTCAATCATAGCATTAAGCCCCCCCCCTCCCACCAGATAATTTGAGGCCTATCCCAAAATGGAGGATACTATACCCTATATTCCAAGGTTATGGGGCGGATCTCGAACCGGCAGTGGTGCAGACCCTTTCCAGCTGGTCTCTGAGGGGTCTTCTTCGGTTCGGGGCGCAAGGAGGGGAAGGCTTCGGGATGCCAGACCCACAGTTTTGAGGCTTATACCTTACTTTGAGGGGCAGGGGACTTAATAAGTCGGTTGTAAGTAGGGTCATAATTGGGGTACCGTACTTATGACTATACTTATGGCCTACTTACTACGTCCCCTGCCGCTCCAAGTAGACCAAAAACCCTAAACCCCATAGATCCCTTTAAGGAGCCCTTGAAAACCCCGCCTAGGAACGCTAAACCGGATCAATTGAAAGGTTCATAGCCGCCTTACTGCTTCGCTGGGGTTTCTGCCCCACTGAAAGGATCATGGGACTTAGGAACTAGGGTTCCTTAAAGGGCTCTTTAAAGGGATCTATAAGGGTTCCTTAAAGGGATCTATAGGGTTTAGACGGTTTAGAGTTTAGGGTCTACTTAAAGGATCACGGGAGTTCGTAAGGAGGGCTATACATAAGGGTAACTAGACTTATATTTACGTATAACCCCATTTAGGGTACTTATAACCTTACTTACTAAGTCCCCTGATCCTCCAAGCAAGCCTGCTGGAGGGCTGCTTTTGGCCACCGGCTTTTCCATTTCCACTTCACGGAGCTTCTCTTCCAACTCCCGCTTCGCTTTCTCCGCACGAGAAACCTCCAGGTTCCGAGAAGCAGAACTACTATTTGCTTAAGAAACCCCCAAAAAATAAAAATAATAATCCCTATATTACCCCCATAAGGAATATATTTTTTATTTTTTGGGGGTTCTTAAGCAAATAGTAGAGAAGCATCTAGGGTTTAGGGTTTAGGGGGTTTGGGGTTTAGGATTTAGGGTTTAGGGGGTTTGGGGTTTAGGATTTAGGGTTTAGGGGGTTCAGGGTTTGGGGTTTAGGATTTAGGGCTCCTTCGAGGCATTCTTGTCTTTTAAGTGGGCCCCTTAGGAGGAGGAAGCTTGTCGAGCATCAGGGTTCAGGGGGTAAGCTTAGGCTTTACTGGTTTAGGGCTCCTCTAGAGAATTCCAACAAGGGTTGCTTTAGGGGCTCCTATAAGGGTTCCTGTGAGGTCAGCTTCCCATCAGCGCCGATTCTACCAATATTGAAACGGTGCCAACACATTGCTACCTTGCACTCTTCCCCTGGTCCCCTCTTCCGAAACCTTCAACCCTCCCTAACCCCTAAACCCTATGAACCCTAAGCCCCTAAACCCTAAACACTATGAGCCCTAAGCCCCCAGCTTGCTCTTTAAGCTCCGCGTTCTCCCGCATGAACTCGTCCAGGTCTTCGTCGAACTGGGCCGCCATGGCTTTCTTCCTGCACTTCGGGGTTAGGGGTTTAGGGGTTTAGGGGGTCTAGGGTTTAGGGGGTCTAGGGTTTAGGGGTTCGGGGTTTAGGGTTAGGGGTTTAGGGGGTTTAGGGGGTTTAGGGTTTAGGGGGTTTAGGGTTTAGGGGCGTAGGGTTTGCGGTTGCTTCTGACGCCAAGTTGGTTTAGGGTTTAGTGGTGTAGGGTTTGGGGCTGCTTCTGACCCGAAGTTGGTTTAGGTTTACCTGGACCCGGAAATAGCCTATCTACGTAAGGAACCCATAATCTTTGATCCCCCAAAAGGAAGGTTCTTGAGGGTCCAGGTCGGGTTTAGGGTACTTAAAGGATCATGGGACTTAGAAACTAGGGTTATAAATAAGGTAACTATACCTATAAGTACTTACAACCCCAATTACTTGAAGGCTCATGGGACTTAGTAAGTAAGGTTATAAGTAGGTTATAATTAGGATAACCCCACTTAGGGGACTTATAACCCCAATTATAACCTACTTACTAAGTCCCATGATCCTCTAAGTAGGGTACTTTTAACCTTACTTACTAGGTCCCCTGATCCTCCAAGTAGTTGGGCCCCGGGCGAAGGTCCTCAAGCCCCCTGGCAGACCACCTTCGCTGCTGGTGGCGCTGGCGCGCTTTCGAAGGCTTCGCCGATCGTCGACCCATCCTTTGAAAACGACAACTATCAGCTCACTGCAGGGGTAAGCTACAATTTGGTAACAGATGCATCCAAGTAGGGAAGGACTACGCACACAGGCGCATAAGACCATGTGCTTCCGGCATCCACCTGCGCCGCAGCTCAACCCACACAGAATGTCTGGATTGCCAGGTGCTCATGTTAATTCCATTGACGGTGTGTGTGCCGTCATGTCTCCGGACAAGAACCCAGAGACTTCAAAACCCCCTAATTAAGGAATATACCTCAAATTTTAATGGGATCCCGAATATGATTTAAGGTACAGTCTTTAATTAAAGGATATTGGGGTCCACTAAACCTTGAAGGAACGCTATAGGAACATGCATCCTAGAAGCTCCAATCGCTGGCACTTCCGGCGCTGGAGGGCGAGAAAGTCTTGATCTCCTGGAGCTCTTTCTCCAGCTCAGCGTTTCGCCGCTTCAGATCATTTGCCCTGGACTTGGCATTTGGGATCTAGGGAAGTGCGGTTTAGGGGTTCGGGGTTGGGGCCTAGGGACTTGAATGCACGACAGAATGTCCTGCGCAATTCGGAAAGGCTGCGAACTGCTGCTCAATTTGCACATGTGTTGTGCTGAGTTGCGCATCTTGCTCGACCCATCCAATGATTCATCCCCAATTAACTGCAGAAAAGGATCTGTCTGCACTCCTCTACACCCAAGTGCGCGGACTCGTGTAGCTCCTCCTTAAAAATGTGCGGGGTTGCGACCATGCTGTCATGACGCACTGCATGAACTTAGTACTTTCCGGCAACAAATGCCGGACAAGCTTCCTTTAACTGCGCAATCGTCTCTTCAAGCTGCATGTCTCAGGGCACATCTGCGCCAAACAGCAGCAGTGCACCTTGAGCAATCAGAAGCAGAAAGGACGGACTCAAAGGAACCCCATAACATCGACTCGAAGAATGCAGACACATCTGTGGCGCTGGCAATCCGCTTTGACATCCAATCCGACGGCATGCCACGGCCGCTACATCAATGCACAGTATCGCTACCCGCTACAGATGTGAACAACAGGGGCTGGCTCCAGCTACTGTTGTGCGTTGACCCGATCACATCAAGCAGTGCATTAGCATACATGTCTCCAGCAATGCATGAAGTCCTGAACATTTTGCAAATCTCTCGGCTCTGCATTACTTCATGCTTGCCAAACATGCCGGTACTAGCCGAAACAATGCGATTGCTCTGCTTCACAAACCATTGCACCAGTTTATGGCAAAACAATACCACGAGAGCACCTTCCGTGGACATGACTTGAGGATGCCAACAGCTGCACAAAAAAGCTTGATAATTGTGTCGGAAAGCATTCCGACAACGATTGTAAATCTGAGAGCTGTCCTAATGATGCAAAGGGGAGGTAACAAGTAGAAGCGCGTGAGCACTCCAGAGGTTGTCTAACATCTACCCAGTCATGCATCTTGGCTACGGTGAAAGTCGGAAAATGTAGTTCTCGGTGCCTCGCCACCAGAGCAAAACAGCCAAAGCAGGCCGATTGGCAATCAGAAGAAAACACAGAACAGACCCCTGAATTATTTTGCGGTCGTATTTGGCATAGTTCGCCTCTGTCTCCATGCTAGCAAATATGAATACGTGATTGGCCATATCGACATCCCATTCGTTAAGCTAAACTGCTACCTTTTTATGGTTGAAATATTGTCAAGGTGTTTTTTAGCGGTCTTCATGCATTCTAAATATTAAGAAAGGAATGTTGTGAACATATGAATTCATCAGTGCTTCTTTCTCGGGCCGACATGAGATTCCAATGTGCCGCAAAGCTTCGCGACTCGACGAGAGCGACACACAGGGGGCTTCTCTTCCCTTTCGCTCGGCTACTTTGGCACTCGACAGGTTGTTGGGAGCTTGATTCCAACCTGCTCTACCACTACCCTAAAACCTAAACATACCTAAATCCCGCTCTGCAGTATTCGGGACCCCAATTCAGAGAACTACCCACATGCATCATTTCGAAGGAGCCAAAACTAGCCAATTCCAGTGCTCTGAGGCAGCTTTTTGCTTTGTCACTCTGCCGAGGTCCGGTCCTTCAAACAACAACTTCAGTTGGCGTTGGTGGTCCGGAGGGGGGTGCCTGCGGGCATTTAGCAATAACCTCTTGCAGTGTGGCTGTCACATCGGTAAAGCCGGTGCCAGGGACCGGGCGCCATAGATGGAATGACGAGGTTCAGCAGGGAAATCCTCTGGATTTGGCTGCACCTGCGCATGGCGAGGCAATCAAATTCACGAATCCGAAGCAATGCGCGTTCCGTTCAAGTCTCGTGTAAGCTCCACATGACGACACCTACGGACCAACATGCGACAGTATGCCAATAGGCGCGTCATAAGTGGGGTTATAGGGTTTCTCTGAGGGTCCTATCGCCTTTTACAGGACTTTATAGCACTCTAGGGAAGTTGGAAAACCACCCATATAGTACCCTTATAGAAACCCTATTATAGAGCCTGTTACGGATTTCTGACAATAACCCTCAACCTCTATAGAACCCTTATAGATAACTTCAGAGGAGCCCTTGAAGGAATCTCCTAAACCTTCAAAACCCATTACCATACTTTTTCTTCTTCTTCTTCTTGATATTACTATTCTTCTTAATATTGCTGTTCTTCTTAATATTTCTATTCTTCTTCTTAATTACTACTATGGTTAATACTACCTCTAGCCAAGGAGCTGAGAGCCCGAAGCCGATGCGCTGTCGCTTCCTCGGCTGACTCTGGGCTCTTTTTCGGGAACTTTTTCTCAAGGGTTCAGGGTTCAGGGTTTAGGGTTTAAGGTTCAGGGTTTAGGGTTCAAGGTTTAGGGTCTAGGGTTCTGGGTTTAGGGTTTCGGGTTCCTGTTCGGGTTCCTCAAAGAAGGGCTTAGGGAAGCTATTCAAGGGTTTCAAGATTAGGGGTGTGCGGTTACCATAATAAAGAACTCCCTTTAATTCAGACAGATCCCTATTATGGTAACTTTAGCTAACAAACCCAAAACCCTAAACCCTAAACCCTAAGCCCTCCTATAGGACGCTGAACTTTCTCAACTCGTGGCTTCGCGGCTGATTCGGACCATGTCTCGGCTCATGTCTGTGAGGCACTTCTGAAGGCCCCTACATTATAGAACCCATTCCTCATAGTGTAGATTCCTTATAGTGTAGATTCCTTATAGTGTAGATTCCTTATAGTGTAGATTCCTGAAAGTGTAGATTCCTGAAAGTGTAGATTCCTCATAGTGTAGATTCCTTATAGTGTAGATTCCTTATAGTGTAGATTCCTGATAGTGTAGATTCCTTATAGTGTAGATTCCTTATAGTGTAGATTCCTTATAGTGTAGATTCCTTATAGTGTAGATTCCTTATAGTGTAGATTCCTTATAGTGTAGATTCCTGATAGTGTAGATTCCTTATAGTGTAGATTCCTGAAAGTGTAGATTCCTGATAGTGTAGATTCCTTATAGTGTAGATTCCTGATAGTGTAGATTCCTTATAGTGTAGATTCCTTATAGTGTAGATTCCTGATAGTGTAGATTCCTTATAGTGTAGATTCCTGATAGTGTAGATTCCTTATAGTGTAGATTCCTTATAGTGTAGATTCCTTATAGTGTAGATTCCTGAAAGTGTAGATTCCTTATAGTGTAGATTCCTGATAGTGTAGATTCCTGATAGTGTAGATTCCTTATAGTGTAGATTCCTTATAGTGTAGATTCCTTATAGTGTAGATTCCTTATAGTGTAGATTCCTTATAGTGTAGATTCCTTATAGTGTAGATTCCTTATAGTGTAGATTCCTTATAGTGTAGATTCCTTATAGTGTAGATTCCTGATAGTGTAGATTCCTGATAGTGTAGATTCCTTATAGTGTAGATTCCTTATAGTGTAGATTCCTTATAGTGTAGATTCCTTATAGTGTAGATTCCTTATAGTGTAGATTCCTGATAGTGTAGATTCCTTATAGTGTAGATTCCTTATAGTGTAGATTCCTTATAGTGTAGATTCCTTATAGTGTAGATTCCTGATAGTGTAGATTCCTGATAGTGTAGATTCCTTATAGTGTAGATTCCTTATAGTGTAGATTCCTTATAGTGTAGATTCCTTATAGTGTAGATTCCTTATAGTGTAGATTCCTTATAGTGTAGATTCCTGAAAGTGTAGATTCCTTAGTGTAGATTCCTTATAGTGTAGATTCCTGAAAGTGTAGATTCCTTATAGTGTAGATTCCTGATAGTGTAGATTCCTGATAGTGTAGATTCCTTATAGTGTAGATTCCTGATAGTGTAGATTCCTTATAGTGTAGATTCCTTATAGTGTAGATTCCTTATAGTGTAGATTCCTGAAAGTGTAGATTCCTGATAGTAGTGTAGATTCCTGATAGTGTAGATTCCTTAGATTCCTTATAGTGTAGATTCCTTATAGTGTAGATTCCTTATAGTGTAGATTCCTTATAGTGTAGATTCCTTATGGTGTAGATTCCTGAAAGTGTAGATTCCTTATAGTGTAGATTCCTGATAGTGTAGATTCCTGATAGTGTAGATTCCTTATAGTGTAGATTCCTGAAAGTGTAGATTCCTGAAAGTGTAGATTCCTTATAGTGTAGATTCCTTATAGTGTAGATTCCTTATAGTGTAGATTCCTTATAGTGTAGATTCCTGATAGTGTAGATTCCTGATAGTGTAGATTCCTTATAGTGTAGATTCCTGATAGTGTAGATTCCTGAAAGTGTAGATTCCTTATAGTGTAGATTCCTTATAGTGTAGATTCCTTATAGTGTAGATTCCTTATAGTGTAGATTCCTTATGGTGTAGATTCCTGAAAGTGTAGATTCCTTATAGTGTAGATTCCTGATAGTGTAGATTCCTGATAGTGTAGATTCCTTATAGTGTAGATTCCTGATAGTGTAGATTCCTAGTGTAGATTCCTTATAGTGTAGATTCCTGATAGTGTAGATTCCTGATAGTGTAGATTCCTTATAGTGTAGATTCCTTATAGTGTAGATTCCTTATAGTGTAGATTCCTGAAAGTGTAGATTCCTTATAGTGTAGATTCCTTATAGTGTAGATTCCTGATAGTGTAGATTCCTTATAGTGTAGATATAGTGTAGATTCCTGATACTGTAGTTCCTTATAGTGTAGATTCCTGATAGTGTAGATTCCTTATAGTGTAGATTCCTTATAGTGTAGATTCCTTATAGTGTAGATTCCTTATAGTGTAGATTCCTTATAGTGTAGATTCCTTATAGTGTAGATTCCTTATAGTGTAGATTCCTGATAGTGTAGATTCCTTATAGTGTAGATTCCTGATAGTGTAGATTCCTTATAGTGTAGATTCCTTATAGTGTAGATTCCTTATAGTGTAGATTCCTGATGTAGATTCCTTATAGTGTAGATTCCTTATAGTGTAGATTCCTGATAGTGTAGATTCCTTATAGTGTAGATTCCTTATAGTGTAGATTCCTTATAGTGTAGATTCCTTATAGTGTAGATTCCTGATAGTGTAGATTCCTTATAGTGTAGATTCCTGATAGTGTAGATTCCTGATAGTGTAGATTCCTTATAGTGTAGATTCCTGATAGTGTAGATTCCTTATAGTGTAGATTATAGTGTAGATTCCTTATAGTGTAGATTCCTTATAGTGTAGATTCCTTATAGTGTAGATTCCTTATAGTGTAGATTCCTGAAAGTGTAGATTCCTTATAGTGTAGATTCCTGATAGTGTAGATTCCTGATAGTGTAGATTCCTTATAGTGTAGATTCCTGATAGTGTAGATTCCTTATAGTGTAGATTCCTTATAGTGTAGATTCCTTATAGTGTAGATTCCTGATAGTG